TGCTTTCCTTTTCAAAATCCAGGTGGCCACGCAAGGGGTAACCGCCTTCTTTATAAAGCCAAAACGACAGGCTTCCCCCCTTATAAAAGAAAAAACAACCAGCGCCCCATTAGTTACCCGCCCACCGCCATCGCCTTCCTTCCTTCTTCCGCACTCCTCGAGAAAAAGTCGGCTTCGTTAGTTTTCCCCTGGTATCTGTATATAAGCAAGCGTTCCGCTTTATATCGTTTTGCTCTCTTCTCCAAGTAAACCCCATCTTAACCTTTCGTCTCAGCTAACAACACGTCGAATTCTTTCAATCTCTTCTGTTTCTTCTATTCAATTCTGTCCTTCAGAGACGTATAATTAGATTGTTTGTTTGTTTGTGTCTTTTCTTTTCCTGATTTTTTTCTGGGTTCTTTCGACTTGTTTTCGTTAGATTCTTTCTGGGTACAGATTCTCTGTTTTTCTTTTTTGCTTAGGACTCGATATTGGTACATATTCTGATCCAAAAGTAGAAACTTTTTTTCTCGGTTTGTTTAAATTATTGCCACTATGGCTTTTAACCCAAACGAATACGACAACAATGACAACTTCCTTTCTGTCGAAACACGAAACTCTGGGAAGACTCACACGGCAACTTTAAATTCGACTACGTTAGACACGGTGAATGATCAAGAATCCATTCTTTCCGATTGCGAAAGCTGCGTTTCTGGCCCCAGTTTTGATCAATCTCCGCTGTTTAACAATGGATTGGTTCGGTTATTCCCGGGGGACAAGGCGCATGACGTGATCATGAAAAGGTTTCTTTCCAATCTGGGTTCTCTGGCGGCTCATACTAAGGACTTGGCAATCCATAAAAATAGTTTTCTTGGTGTTACTTGGCAAGCAAGGCTTCAATCTTTCCAGATTTTCATCAAAGCAATGGAGCAAAAATGTGGGGGCGACGCCAATGTTAAGTATGCTTGGTGTTCTGCTTCTAGAGATGAGATTTGTCGGATTGTTGACCATGGTTTTGGTCATTGCGGGTTGCCTGAAAACAGTGGATTGTATGGTTGCGGCCTCTATCTTTCCCCTGATGATTCTCCCATGGAGAGGTAAAAAAACATGACCGAGTCATTATGTTCTTATTGAAATATGTTTTTTTTTTACTGTTTAGTATTAGATATTCATCGCTAAATTTGATTGTTTTGTTTCAGTGTGAAGAATGCACTGGTTGATAAAAATGGGATTAGGCATTTAATGCTTTGCCGTGTGATATTGGGGAAGGCAGAGGCGGTGCAGCCTGGTTCTAAGCAATGTCATCCAAGTTCAGATGAGTTTGATTCTGGCGTTGACAATCTGTCGTCGCCGAAAAAGTATATTTTATGGAGTACACACATGAATACTCACATCTTGCCAGAGTTCATATTGAGTTTCACAGCTCCATCGTCCTTGAAAGGTAAGCAATCTGAGTTGTATGGCGTTGAAAAACCTTTGAAAGTCAAAGGGATTGGTTTTGACTTTGGTTGCTTATTGCTTAGGTTTCCTTGGGATGCAAGATAGGTTGAGGATGCCAACCTCGCCTTGGATATCATTTCCAGCTCTCATATCTGCACTTTCGGAGTTCTTACCTCCTACTTCCGTCAATTTGATCTCCAAGTATCACAAAGATCACAGGGTAAGTTTTGTTTATCTGGTTTTTTTTCCAATGAAAGTCATATGGTCTTGTTCTTTATTTACAATCTGCTGTTATTGGAATTTTGTTCTGCAGGATAAGAAAATATCAAGGCATGAACTGATACAATTTGTAAGACAAATAGCAGGAGACAAGTTGTTGGCTGCTGTCATCAAATCCTCCAGGACCAAGGTACTGATAAACTAGATGTCTTATGACTATCCTAGAGTTGGTTTTCTTTTCTTTTCTTATTATCTATTTATTTTGTTGAGAAAAAAAAATGTGAATCACATAGCTTTCTGCACTTCTTGCAAGTTGCTATGCTTAAATAAAGGAAAAGAAGTTGCAACACTTATTAGATCTTATGAGGAATGATTAATTCTATTTTCCTACTATCCAACATACTTAATGGGCCACTACCACATGCTGTATGCTTATTCTCGTGGAAAACATGTATCTGACTCAATTGATTCAAGGAATTTAGATCCCAAAATCCTTATCCTTGAACCATGTGCTGTCCTTTGAAATGTTTTTTTAATCCATTGAAAAGCTTATTAGACCTTTTCAGCCTCATTATAAAGACATCACATCGTTTTTTATGTGTATCTAATTCACTGAAACTATAGCTCTAGCTTTGTCCATGGAATGAACAAACTGTTATGCAGCTTTTCATTACCTGCAACTTTAGTTTGTGTTAATGGAAGTAAAACTGAAATTGGATGTTTACTGACAGCCTAACAATTAGGTGGAACACTGCTGACAACCTAACAATTGGGTGGAAGACAAAAAATTTCTTGATTGAGGAAAAGCAAGTGGAATGAAAAAGGCTTCTTGTCAATTTTTAAACCTTGTCTTCCTATTCAAGCAATTTCCATGCAGCTTTTTTTCATTACTTTGCTTTTTTTCCTATCTACCATCTAGGATGTTATCTCACTGCAAGGAAACCTTTTTATGTTCTGCTTTGCAGCAGCCTATTCCATTTGGCAGCATTCAACGAACAACTGAGCATGGATCCAGGAGCAGGTTTCGACATCCTTAGAAGGCTGGCTATCTAGGTTGACTCAATGTTTAAGGGGATGAGAATTTTCTGTATATAAGGAGAAGTAGCGATCACTGAGCGGGGATGAGAAGGCAAATCACACAGACCAGGCAGATAGTGAAAGCTTGAGGTGGAACTAAGGTCCTGTTTTGTCAAAAACCAGTTGTGGAGTGTTTGGTGTCTTTGCTTTACAAAGCTGTCACTTCTTCCTTTCAAATTACACTAGTGAGAATGAAGTTGGTTCCCTGTTTTTGGTTTATTGAGGAAGTAAATACTATGGTTGCATTGACTTAGAAATTGTAGAATGTCCAAAGACAGCTTAAAGATCAGATTTTTGTAGTCAGCTTAACAATACAAACTTCATTTACTTTCTTCAAAATCTTGGTGTTTAGACAGATTTACTAAGCAAGTTGGTCCTTTGCTGAATATGAAAAACTGAAAAGTAGCCTCTTTGATTAGTACAAAATGTCTGCTAAATTTATACTCTTAATTCTCACTTTGCAAAAGAAAAGACAGCTTAATCTTGGGTTATTTCCATGGAACCTGATACTTTCTGCTAATCTTAATTCCTACTTCTTTTCAATTCAATTACAAATAAAAATTAGAGAACTGTAAGGCATCAAACTGATGTGGGTTGGGATTTCATTGCCAAAATTGTATATGTATCCAAGTCGAAGAACAGATGAGCCCAAACCCAGTAATCTTCTGACTAGATATTTTGGACTCCATGGATTCTAACCTGGGCCTAACTGAACCCTGAAACCTACTTTCATGGCTAGAGTTCTCTCAATTCAATTCTATTCCTTTTCTCTTTCCAAGTCAAGGATATATCCACGCAGGTTAAGCTGCATTAAAAATGTGAATTTTGCCACAATATGTTTTCCTTCTAATTTATAAATCCCAATCAATCACCATTGGGGACTTTGGGTCATTAAGAAGTTGACAGATTGATTGGTCTTTAGCTCTAGAGGCAAGTACTTTCCCCTTCAATTTTGTTTGAAATTAATAAAAATATAATTCATTTTATTTTAAAAGAAATTCTCGCATATGAACGTATCGTAAATGTATAATATTCAAATCAATATAGTCGATTTAAGAACAAATGATATTTTTTGTATTCACAAATGAATGGCATAAAAATAAAATAAATTTATGAGTTCCAAACACATTTGAGAAGAAAATTTCTGTAGAAATTTGGATGCCAAAGGTAAATAGATTATTTGAAGATGACCCAAACTCAAACAACCCTTTGTAGGAGGCTTTAGGTCCTAAAATATTCAATATAATTCACACAATTATGGTATATGTACCCCACAAAAATTGAAAAAGAAATAATTAAGGTATGGCTGGTAATTCCCCCTTAATCACGCTGCTGATGCACACTCGATTGCAATCACAGTTCCCCTTTCCTTACTTCCAAAGTTTACTTTGCCTTTACCAATTTATTCTGCAAAAGGAAAATAATAATAATAATAATCGTATGTGGATTATTGGATAATTAAGTTAAAAACTAAGGATTAATTACTGTTAATGATGTAATAACTCAACCAACAAATTTTCTCAAAAAAAAAAATTGTAATGGAAACATATCATTGGATTCATGGGATATATATTCATATATGACCATAATCATCAAAATTCAGCAGCTATGGCATCCTTTTTTTACATTGAACTATAGCATGACTAAAGATGAACAAATATTTAATTCAATAAACAAGTAAATAAATTACCCATGCCAGCTCGATTTCATCGAGTGCAAAACATTGTCGATCATAATTTTTTCTTTTGTACATATGAGAGATAAAAAGAGGAAGTTGAGTCGAAATCTTGTTCCTCAATTCTTTTAAAATGAATAACAATCGTTAAATTAAACTTGAATTATTTCGATGATTATAAGTTTTGAATTATCATAATCTTAGTCAATTTGATTTGATGCCTTGGTAAGGGCGGCGATAATTACATATCAAGTCAAATTTAATGGGTTTGTACCCCAATAGTATTATGTAGTGAACAAGAAAACAAAAAAACTTTGATGTCATAACATATGAGGTAGAGAGTATCAATCACTAATTATGAACAAATACGAACATGTTAATTTTTAAGTTTTTCTTTCTATTTGATCAAATGGTTTATTGATGATTGAAAACTTATAGTAAAATATTAAGCCCTATGATCTTGCTAGCGCACATTATTTTTAAACAGGATTCGATCGCGTAACAAAATACATCCCAAGTAAATTACACGTGATAAAATAAATTTTTTATTTTTTATATTAAAAAAGTTTGAATATTTATATTATTAAAAAAATTTAAAATTTAAATATAAAATATATCAAAATCGAAATTACGGAACGGAAAAGGCAAAATAAAAAGTGTCAAAATCATGCAAGTTGCTACGTGAACTTCCACCCTTTCCGGTTGGGCAAAATCCTTTTCACATGAAATTGCGTGGCAGCAAAACAGGATTGCAGCCCCCTGAGGGGGTTTGGGGATTATGAATTCGAGACACGTGTTTGGCGTCGAACTTCCTACGTGTCAAGCACCGGCGGCGGAGATTGCGACGGGAAACCTCCACATTACTGGTTTAGTTACTGCCCATCGCTGGCCAAAGCAAAGGAAACCAAGTCTTTTAGTTAATAATTTAGATGCCAATTCTGGCTGTGTGGCTCACCTGCCTTAGCCTCTCCCCTTTGCAACAAAGCAAGTGGCCGCCATGTGTAGATGTAGGCCAAAGCCACCTCCTCTTGGTTGTAGTTGAGTGCTTGAACCCTTATTTTTAACCTTCTAACAACTTTAAAGATGGGAAATTAAAGCTGCATTTTCAGCTGTGAAGAAAGAAAAAAATTATTACTATGTACACCTAGGATGAGATTCGTGATGTTTTATTTCATTTAATTATGTAATGTTTTTATTGTATTCATTCTTTCGTTTTTATAATTCTTATGAAAAATATATATAAATGAAAAGTTACGTAAATTTTGATATGATTTGTCACGAATGCATGTTTTTGACTTAAAAGACATTTCGGTTTAACATCAACATTACTATCAAGGGAGCGGACTGCCGCAGCATCCAAAAAGGTGCATTTAATTTTGGAAAATGTTGTAAAAGTTAAGGCAAAATGGTTCTAGGTTTTGATGTGCACGTCCATGATCAAACATCAATTCAACAAGGTCTTGTATAGGGTTGAAGATTTAATGCCCCCAACGCTTAACCCTCGTTTACTCCCATCGTTCTGAAATAAACAGCTAAGCAGACTAGGAGAAACAAAAACAGAGGAAAAAGGCAACCACCACAATTACAAATGTACACTAACCTCCCATTTACTGTCTCGTTCAGTATTCTATTTATAGTTTTATATTATCGTCATTTTTATTGGTAAATTATTCATTTCTATTGTTAGAATTTGTAAATTAAGATTTTCAATTTACAATATAAAACTGAATACATGACGTTGAATTACCAAAGAAATATTGAAGAGGAGACGGAGGAATTTTATTCTGGTGTGAAATCATGTACTCTTCCACGTACAAAACAAAACCCAGCTCATATTTTCGTGTGAAAGAAGCAAAGAACTTTCCAAGATTAGGAAAGAGGAACACCCTCTAGAATTAGACCATAAACAATAACAACAGGAAATTTGTAAAGAGAAGCCAATCTATTGGTCACATTCACCAAACGTTTTCCGCAATACCAACAGCACCCCCCTTCTCTCTAGAAAGCGCGTCTGCGTCCCCCACGCCTGCCCCTTTCTTCGAATATCACTCCATTGCTTTGGAGCTTTGTTTGTATGTTTCCTTTTCTTTTCCTTTTCCTAATGCTTGGAGGAAATGGGCAGCTCTTTCTTGAGGAACCCATTTGATTTTGAAGCCCAATCCTTTATGTCTATAACCCGAACTTGACACCCTTTTCTTTTCCCATTTCGACCAATTCCATCTCCTCTTGAACTATCAAATCTTCCTCTCTTGTCTCTCACTCAACAAAAGAACAAGAAACAGAAGGAAAAAAAAGAAAAGAAAAGAAAAGAAAGAGAAACCGGGTTGTTTTTGATCTCTTTTTACTTCATAAGTTTATCGTAGATATGCAAATGCAGGCAAGTCCACTTCTGTCTCTGTCCCCAAGCTCTCCAAGCTTCGACACTTACTCTTCAGGCAGGCTTGCTGCAATCGCTGCTAGAGTTGTCGAAGAATTCAGACAGGAGTCGGGTAATTCGTGTCAGGACGACATTTACGAAACCTGGCCCCCGCAACAAAAACAAAACCAGCAGCTCCAACAGCAAGTCATAGAAGAGGAAGACAATGAAGAGGAGGAGGACGATGATTTCGAGTTTGCTTTTGTCTGTAGAGAGCCGGAGACTTGTCCAATCTCGGCAGACGAAATCTTTCACAACGGACAAATCAGGCCAACTTATCCACTTTGCAACGCCAACTTGTTGGTCGGCGATGATCAAACCCCTGATAGCAAAACCGTTGACTCTACTCATCCCTTTGTATCGAAACCAGGACCCCGTCGTTTACCATTGAGAAAACTCATGAGTGAAGAACGTGAAGCGACTTCGTGTTCGTCCTCGGAAGCTGATGAATTGGAAGGAGTAACGCCGGGGTCTTACTGTGTCTGGAAACCGAAAGGAGGGTCAGCAGGGAATGACCAAGAATCCCCTGGAAGATGCAAGAAGAGCAATTCAACCGGGTCATCCAAGAGATGGAAGTTAAGAGACCTGCTTTATAGAAGCAACAGTGATGGTAAAGACACGTTTGTCTTCTTAGCACCAAGCAAGAGAGAGAAAACCACTAACACTAATGGTAACAAGGCCATGGAAATTCCAGGAAAGTTTCAGCCAGCTGAAGAACATTGTGGTGGTACCAGAAATATGAAACCAGGGGACAAGAGAAGGTCCTTTTTGCCATACAGGCAGGACTTGGTGGGGTTATTTTCTAACGTCAATGGCTTGAGCAGGAATTTGCATCCATTTTGAAGATATATCTGAATCACTGTGTGAGAGGAAATTGAAAGGTGGGCTTATTTCTCCTTTCCCTGTTCCTTTTTGTTTTCCTTTTCTTTTTAATTTCCCATTTTTGTGTTTGATAGTTTTTTCTTCCTTTTCTTTGAGAAAGTAAATATGATTAGTTTGCTTAAGATGGGTTTTCCATCTGTTGTGTATAAATCAATATATATACAAGTGCTTGAGTAAAATCATCCACTCTTTTCTTCTGCTTCTGTTCTTCTTCAAAGGTCCATGAGAAAAACTGACAGAGCAAAAAGCTTGTCTGTTAAGTGTGAAAATCTGCATTTTGGGTAGGAAAAATTATGTAATTTTGAATGTGAAGGCTGTTGAGAATTGAATTGAATTACAATTTACAAAGCCGAAAGATTATGTCAGTCTATTTATTTATTTTACAATTATTTTAGATTTAGTAATGAAGACTAAGGATGGCAGTCTCTTTCAGGATCATCCAGGGCGCCGATTTTTGCTTACCATAGAGAAAGATTGATACATTTGAAATTGAATCTTCTGTTCTTCATTTGACATAGTCTAATGTCGGCGAATTTTGGCTACTTAAAAGAAATATTATAGGGTTTGTTTCCATCTTCTTTTCATCAATCATACCCAATATTTTATAATTAGAAATGCAAAGAAGTCAACAAAAGATTTGCATTAATAACTTGGGAGAGAATGTGTCTAAGGAAACATCTGCCCTACCAAGTCATGCAATGCAAAGGGGTTATGGGGTTTTCATTTTTTAACAAGAACAAAGGAAAGTGATGCAATATAAAGCTATTTTTATCCATTAAATATTGAAATAATATCAAATCAAATTAGGTAATAACTATTCTCGTCTTAAAGAGATTTAGGTTAAAAGTCAAGTACTCATCTTCCAAAGTTTGCAGCAAGAAAACAGGTTGTTGGTTGGTCAGAATCTTAACCTTTTATCCTGTTTGTTTAAAGAACTTATCCCCTTCTTTGGTTAAAATTAAAAAAGAAACTTGTCAAGATCATGAGGAGGCTACCTCTATTGAGTTTTTTCTAATTGGAATGGAACATGTGCCGGTGGTTCACAAAATTCTTAATTTTCTATCAAATCAAGGCTTGAAGATGGCTTACAAGCAAATGGAGTGGATCGTAAACCTGACGTTAAAGTATCCTCAATCAAACCAAACCAAACAAATTAAAATTATCTCCTTAATAAAAATTTTCATATGGCACCCCCTGGCTAGGATTGCTAAACTTTACATCATTACTTAATCATAAGTTGACAATTGAATATCTCATATCTCATTCCCAATTTCTTTTTGTTCTAAGGATTGCCAGAGGGGCACGAGGAGAATGGAAGTAGGTAAGAGGAAAAACTATGATAGCAGATGCAACTTTTTTTCTTTTCCAAGTGAAGATAAATATTAATTAATGTAAAAATTAAAGGAAGGTGAGAATTACATTCACAAGAAAAGAAAAGAAATAATGATTGCTATGCTGGCATGCTTTTATGGCCATATTGTTGAAATAAATAACCTTGCCCTTTGCTGATTCACAAGTGCAATACCTCAAGAAAACTTAAGATTATTAAACTTTCCATCTTGCCTCATCATTTCTGGAAAACCCAGAGTCCCAAGTCTAAAGTATTAACCAAAAACTAAGAAAGAATCCTGGAAAACTTTTTACTCCAGGGCAGCTCCTCCAGGGTCCCATAAAAGGGGCATACTAAGCTCTTTTGTGATTTGTGGGATGGGAAACAGTGGGGGCCATGATCTTAGTCCTAGTTTTCTTTTGTTGGGGAACAGAATTTTTAATTTTTTCCACTTGCCAAGGCTGTGTGGGTTGGTCTTGGATCCATTGGGACAGCAGCTGTAGAAAATGAGAACGAAAAGCAAGAGGTTAAAATGATGCCATTGGCAGCAAAAATGTGTGTGCCGTTTGGGAGCCCTTATGGTCTTGGTCTTGGTCTCTGTCTTTGTTTGTTTTTTTGTCATCTTCCTCCTGATGGAGTCCGTCCAGCCCATTTTTACTGCAAAAGCTTCCAGGGATTGTTGGAAATTGTGTAAAGCTAGAAGAGGAATCCTCCTTCTGCATTCCCGACCTCTTCCAGGGTTTTGACAATTGCCAGACAAAATGACCACACATCAAGGAGCATGCAATGCATTTATCAAAGACTCTTGCTGTGGTTAATTTTCTTCGCTTGCTTTGGTTTGATGCCTCTCCTGTATGTTTCGTTTCCCCACCTGTTTGCAATCTGGTCTAAATTTTCCTTTAGAATACTACTGCACTAGATATAAAGAAATAAAAGCAAATGAATTAATCTCTTAGGGGGGGCATCCGATGAAATTGGAGTGATATAGAATGTTACATAAGGAGAAATTTTATGTTGTGGTCTGCATATTATTCACATATATAAAGAAAATCAAGTTAACAATATTGTAATTATAATCTAACATATCATTGAGTTAATAGTATCGTAATTGTAATTTAACAGAATTTTACTGATTTTAATTATAATTTGTACAAGTTAACTTAGAGAATGTAGATGAATTAGATTCATCCAAATTTATTGGTAAACTATATGAGTTGAGAGAGAGAGAGACAGGGTACAATCTAGCAAATCTAAGCTTTTCCTCCCAAAGAGAAAAAAAGATAAAAAGGAAAGTAAATGTAGGGTGTCAATGTAAGATTAAAGAAAGGATCACAATCTGCAAGATTCGTTTCAGGTACCAGGACCATTGAGCCTTTTCTCTCTCTCCCTCTCCTTTAAAAGGACACTAGGAAACAGGGAAAAAATAACAGTAAATGATTGAATCAAGCTTTATTCTATCTTCTTCTACACATTTTCATAAAGAAAACAGGAGAAGGTAACTAAGAAATAGCAGAATAGGGCATCTTGGGTCTTGACTGTGGGGCATTTTTCACAGTTTTTCTTTTTACCTCTTCTAGAGCATACCATATGCCATAACAGTCAAAGCCGGCATACTCCTCAGTCACAGCCAGGCACCCTTATTTCTTGGGGTGACAACAGAATCTGCATTGAGTCCCTCCATGACTCCCCACTTTGCTAAAGCTATTTTACATTTCAAAAAGGCTTTTTCCAGCTTTTTGTTTATCAATTATATTTTTCCTCTCCCCTTTGAACTCTCCAAAGAGAAGCAAAACTAATGTTACAACTCTAATTTGGTAATATTACTTTAAATCCAATAGGTTAAATTTTACTTCTATTAGTTTGAGTTTTAGCTTTTATGCTAGCTAGTAGGGAAAATGATTGCAACTCTGCAATTTCTTTTATTATCATATGGAATATGTCTCAAGCATGGTAGCCCTACCATTTGCTTTGTCCAAACTTGCAAAAAGGTTCACTGGCATTGGATCTGTGTGACCAATTTAACAAGTCATTGAGACTGCATTAAAGCATCCAGCCACCCTATATGCCATATTCCAAAAGGAAATTTAGGTGCAGCCCATCACTATGTTTAGCCATCTTCCTAGAAGCTATGCCATGCCAATTATCCCATATCCAAACATTGACTAAACAACAGTTTGCACCAAAGGTTTTTTTTTTTTTTCTCTCCAAAAATCATAAATATGGATACTGTTTATCTTCATTGGATTCATGTGGTACAAGGTGGTAGGTGGATTTCTTAATGAATAGCTGGCCATGTTGATGAGAACCCCAGCTTTAGAGCCACTTTCCTCAAAATGGCAGACCAAGTTTTTCCCATCCATGTCCTTGCCCAATTGCCATGTTGCTTCTTGATTTCCTTCATGAAAACAAAAAAAAATGGCATCTCTATCGGCAGCAGCAGCGACATGTTAGCCAGCATAGTATCTACAGTGCAAAAAGGATGAAAAAAAAGAGCTTGCTTTTCCCCATTTTAACTGAACTTTCACACATCCAACATTGTAAGTTGAGAGGATTAGATGCTTTCTCTGTCTCTCTCTAAAACTTGGGTACTTGCCTAGTACCTATTAGCCAATGTTGGCCTAATCTGCTCTTATTCTCCTGATATTTACAGCCACCTTTATCTTTTCTTTTTCCAGGGAAATAAGGGGCAAATTAGCAAAATAGTTATTGATAAATCTTTCTATTTCAGAATTTCATAAGTAAATTATAATCCGAGTAATATTTTAAATGTATGATCAAAGGGTTTGCAAGAGATTAAGAGTATGACAATTTAGATTTAAAATTTCCATCCAAATTTGTTTATTCTTGTCGTATTTATTATCAAATCTTACAAAATTAGAACCTGCAACCCTTTGGAGCACAACTTTTTCTTGATATCTCATACTGATCATTAATTATTGCTACTAAGGAGAAACAAAATTTGCTCACCTCTTAAGCTGAATGGTTTCACATTGAGAACAGAAAATCAAGTCATTGGTGAAGACACCTAATAGTTTATGGATGAACCAAAAGACGGATGAGAATTGTCAAAGAAGGAAGCTGGATATGTACAAAGTTTAACCCCCAAAATGATTCAACTTTTGACACCACGAAAATGGATTCTGACGTTTTGAAGGATGGGAGATTGTGACAACCAGACAAGAAAATACTAGAGAAAAACAACCGTGTCTAGTGGAGATTGCTGCTGATTGGTCGCATTGTCCAAACTATTTTCCCACCCAATTTGTAAGTGTAGCTTCAGGTTCGGAAATAATGCTAGTTTTCAGTGGATTCCAGATGAATCTCTATCCAACAACCAACACTTCGATAAAAATGGCAAAACCCTGGGGAGAGAACCTGGAAATGAGACTGAATTTATGTTCACACTGTTTTCGGACGATTTCAGAGCTCTCCAACCTGAAGATCTCGTGCTTGTCTACAGGCACAGTAGCCCATCAGAGAATCCATTAAGTTAGTGTTTGTTTTTAAGTTGTGATTAAAATTGGGTAGTGATAACTGTAGAAAATGAAACTGTCAGTCTATTCATTAGCTTCAAGACGTGTATCAAAATGAGTAGAGACATAAATCTCGAGATTATGGTGCTGGAAATGTACTCTTTTGCTGTCCAATTGTAAAGTTTTTGGACTAGACAGAAAGGATTCAGACTGGGTGTAAGCTCCATTTTGAGGTTTCATAGCAGCGGCCCATGCAGTGGGCCTCTAACTCTCAACCCAATTCCAGGCTGGAGCACTTAAAATGAACAGATGAAACTCAATCCAATCAAAAATCGGAACTGACCCAATTTCAAAATTTCAGGTTTCATTCATGGGCCTCGTCTAATCACTCACCTTGTGCTCGCTGAACCCAATGTCCAACTCCGATGAAAACCAGGCTTTCTATTTTTAGGGCAGAGAACAAGACAAGGATCCAAACCCAACTACCCCGTTTACATGTTATCAGGTGAACCATGGCTCATATTCCTCAAGAGCCATATAACATTTCTTGGCCCTCAACACAAGGAAACATTAAGGCAATCGGAAAATGAAACTTTTTGACAGCCAAAAGCAATCTTCATTGTTCCCCCTTCCCTTCCTCCCCTCTTTTTTTTCCTCTTACTTAATCTTCCCCTCTTTTTTGATAATAATTTTAAAGCTACCAATATGCTTGGGATTGTGTTTGAGAATGTTCAACTAAACAGGGGAAAGTTATTCAGGAATATATGATACAATTGCTAAATGCCTCCATAAACCTACCGCCAGACGCCAGCCTTTGGCATAAATTCAAAACTTCCGAGTCTTCCAAATAGAGTCATTGTTATCCTGGCCACAATGAGCGAGCCGTCAATCATGCAGGAACAGGACTTAGACCGGAAGGGCATTGCAAGCTAGCAGCATAGTCTCGTGCCCACAAGTCATAATGTATAATTTCCTCCAGGGAAGGAGTGGCCACCAATTCGTCCCGGTGCCTCTCACAAGTTAGTTCCACCACCTTGAAAATATCCAAATAACTGATCCTGAAATATCAAAACTATTTATTAGCACCATGTAACCAAGTTCTTATGCCAGGCAAATGCATAACAGTAGAACGAATTTATTATTGGTGAGAAGCACATGCATCAGCTGATGTAATCCTCAAATCATGATAACAAAATGTTCAATAATCACCACTGTATATTGACTTAACCTAATTCCAGAGACTGGGAGATTATCCAAAATGCCAGTAGTACTTTTTCCAAAGAAACCATTAAGCCATGCAAATATAAAGGAAAAAGTTTTCGAGGAATGGTAAACAGAAATAACCACAAAAAGATTCACGTTCAAAACAATGGAGGTGTGTGAAGGTGTGGTTTTGAGGTGGGGATAAGAATCATTCTTCATATTCTTCTTTAGAAAAGGGCCAATCATTAAATTTTCCAATGTATCTCAAAATGGATTGGTTGGGGAATAGATAATACTTTACGGTTCTATATAATTTTAGATATAGAAATTCATGTTAAGATCAGAAAATCATCATTGGCTTATCAAAAGAAAACAAATGTATTTCACTTAATAAAACAAAATTCGAAAAATAAAATTATTTCACTTGTTTCACAACATTTATGATTGTTTAAAAGGTAAACCATAAACAATAAATGCAGGATATATGCTGGCCAAAATCTCAAATATTCCCATGAAAGGTATTCCACGTTGTCATAACTTCAACATGATTAGAAATGTGTAGTGGATTGGAAGAAATTTTAGTTTGATTTGATGTTGCTCTAACCTAATTGGTTTTATGTTCCTTATTTATAAATTATAATCAGGAAAAGAGGTTTCAACCATAAAAGCCATCAAGTATCTTTATCATTAAAAAAATCAAAATTCACATCAAGGGGGAAGGCAGAACCCAGAAACAAACTGTAAAGTGAAAAAACATTTTCTAACAAGATAACATCTAGAAACCAAGCACTTACTTTTCATTGATGAACAGCTCTACAGCTTTTTCATTAGCTGCACTAAGAACTCCTGTCATGGTGCCTCCAGCTCTTCCAGCAGCGTAGGCAAGACTCATGGAGGGGTATTTCACATTGTCAGGAGCCTTAAAAGTTAGTGAACCAAGCCTGTTTCATCCATCAACCAATTAAACTCAAGAATTCCAGTATAGTAATTATGAATTTGAATGAAACCCAATCAACTTTTGAAAAACTAAATTAGTAATGAAATTAAAATTTGAAAGGAGACAAGCCAATTACTTGCAAAGATCAAGGCGAGGCCAAGATATTTCAGAGCAGTAAATTCTTTCTGGCCATGACATAGTGTAGAGGATTGGCAAGCGCATATCTGGCCATCCCAACTGAGCCAGGACAGATGAATCCTGAAAATATGGAAATACAAAAATAATGCTGAGAAATGAAAATTCAATTCCAGGCCGTACTCTCAACATCTTGCCAATCAAGGGCACGGCTGCGAGACAAACTAAACAGTGAACTATATGCAACATCTATGGCATCATCAAGCAGTAGCCGACATGATAGAGTTTAGAGTAAAACCTGTGTTTCAACCATTGAATGTATAATAGATTGTGGATGAATTACTATCTCAATGTTATCATACTCAGCTCCAAAAAGATAATGGGCTTCAATGACTTCTAGACCCTGTAAAATAGAGACTCTGCTTAATGCTTGTAATTCAGACCAGAGTAACATTTTGAAAAATAACATACTAATTTGAACGGTATGCTGCTTGTAATTTTGAATGAGACATTTGATAAATCTAAACCTTATTGAAAAGGGTAGCAGAGTCCACAGTAATCTTTTTCCCCATATTCCAGTTAGGATGCTTCAAAGCATCAGCTACTTTAACTTCTTTCAAATTTTCAACAGGCCAATCCCTATGAGAAACAAAGTGAGCAAATCATTCAAATAGCTTCTGGATTAGAGATACCAAAACAAGTTATCACATGTTCAGTAATAAATACTATACACTTGATCCTCAAATGAAGGCATTTATGTGTGTGTGTGTGTATACACACTCACGTGCATGTTCGAATACAATTTCAACAGGAGAGCAGGAATGTGTACAAATAATGTTTTTTTTTTTTGAAGATTATGTGTACAAATAATGTTAAAAGCCTAAGTTTTAATAATGTCAACTTCAATTGCCTTACGATTAGAAAAATAAAGTCAGGCGAGATCAGCAAGTAAACAGTTCATAAATTCAGATTTTCAACTTACGAACTTAATCATTCTAACTTAAATTATGATTCCACACCTGAAAGCCCCACCAGATGCAGTTAAAATAATACGTCGAAGTGCACTCTCTGGTAGTCCCTGAATACACTGAAGAAACAAAAGATTCTATGAGCATGTTCTGAAATTATCAAGAAAAAATTTGAGGGACAAAATGACAGTCCAAGCAAGTTGACTAACAAGTTACACCAAGAAAAGTGTGAAAGATGCCCAACTACCAAGAAGAAAACAACATAACTGACAGAGAATTTCTGAACTAAGCAATTTTCAGGCAATCTTATTCATCAAGTTACAGTTCCAAACCTGAAATATGGCAGAATGTTCCGAATCAGCTGGAAGGATTTTTACTTTATGCTTGTGAGCAAGAGGAAGGACAAAGGGACCACCAGCAATCAGGGTCTCTTTATTGGCCAAAGCAATATCTTTCCCTGCTTCTATCGCAGCCACTGTGGGCTGCAAAAAACAAAAAAGACAGACATTTTAGCAAGCTAATTAATGCAATATAATAAGCAACATACTCTTTCCTTCTCTTTCTAATACATATTCTAATTCTTGACAGTAGACTGTAGCTCATAATTTCTTCAATATACATTGTTCAGTGGATGCAAAGGAAACTATACATAGAGGAAGTAGAAATAGATCTGCACATGATTCTCTCTGGTTTGTGCACAAATGAGCACTACAATCCACTCATAAATTTAAAAAAGAAAAATTGGAACATCTAATTTTCTTCTTTCAATTAGACTTAACTATCAAGTTTTAATATTACATTTTACACTAAATCTAGGCAAGAAATCTTACATGCAGCCCTTATGGAAAGCTCCTAGGTCTTATGGATGACAGGGTTGAAAAGGCAGCATGTGGAGCATGACCAAATGAAGGGACAAAGTAAAAAGATGAGAGAGTACCTTCAATCCTGCACAGCCTACTATCCCAGTAACTACACTGACAGCATCAGGATGGCGAGCAACCTGTAAAACTTTTTAAGCTTAACCATCTAAATAATGAGAATTGCTCTATATATTTAAACAAAAGAAACAATGGACTAATATAGGCTACCTCAATAACTCCTTGCTCCCCAGGAATAATCTCAGGCTTTTGTTCCATATCAGCCAAAGCCTCTTTGAGTTCACTTACCAAAGACTCATTTCTAACAGCAACAATTTGAGGTTTGAACGTCTTCACCTGTAATAAGCAGAAAAATTATCAGCCCTCAAAGCCTCTACACCCTATTGTACCAAAACTCAATTCATATTTTAAACATTTACCTGCAGAAACCACTTGATATGGTATTATACTATACAAACCACATATGGCCAAAGTATCAGTGGATAATGACACAATCATGTTAGTGCATGAATCAAGTTACTCCAGTCCAAGTTTGACATTTATAAATTTAAGAATTATTGGAAATTGGAAAAACTAATGCATTACAAGTTGCCATAACTCGGTAAAAACTGAATAATTACCTGATCAGTAAGAAGCGTCACATTTGAACCAGCAGCCAGCCCCACAACTCTGAATTTATCTGGATTTTCTGCCACTATGTCCAACGTCTACAAAACACCAAATTATGATTCTAAACAACTTGATCAAGTCCCAAAAACAAGCATGCAAGCCCAGAATTAAAGTTCAATAGCAAAACGGGACATGACCAGATAGTTATCAAATGGTAAAAAGTTAAAAGTTTTTCTTTGTTCCCCTTTTCACCTGAGTTCCAATGGAACCAGTTGAACCAACAATGGAGATAGGCTTGGGACCATCCCAAGTCCTGCATCCAGGCTCCGGAAAAGCTCGTCCTGGCCAGGCCGGTGGTGGTTGTGGAGCCTGAGCTGAACATTGAACTCTCCTCCCAAACGTCGTGCCACAATCCTTCCTCTTCAAAACAAACCCCCCTAAAATTCACAAAACACTAATCTTTAGAACTATAATCCGAACCCAAGTAACCAAGACACAAGATTTATCAGGGCTTTACACAAAAAGAAACAAATTTTCTGGGTTTCCTCAGATACCGAGCGTAGAACCAATCAAGAAAGAAAGAAGTAAACTTGGAGTAAGCTGAGGCACAAAAACCAAAAAATAAAAAACAAATGGGAAACCTGGAAAAAGCTTGGGGAGGGAATTGGACTTGGACTTGGTGGAATCCAAGAAGGATATAGACTTAATATCAGGAGAAGAAATCAAATTCAAAGCCATCAAAACTGTGGAAAGGAACTCTTTTTAACTCAAAAAGAAAAGTAAAATTCCACCAGGCTTTGGAGAAATGAAATGTGTGGTGTCAAAAATTATGGAAAAACTCATAAAAACAGAGAACTTTTAAAGAGATGTGTGGTGGGATTGGGAAGTGGCAGAGACTGGGAAGTGGGGTTGCACGGGTGTTTGTTTTGACATGGTAAGCTGAATAAACAGTAGAGTTAGGCAATGGGACAACTGGGACAGTAAATAGTTATTAATGAACTAATACCGGTGTATTAGTCAGAGTTGGATCATTGGAGGATGATGAGAGGATAAGACCATGAGGGAATCAGATTGCATTTTGGACCAGAGTGGTCGACTGGTGCCCTTTTGTCTTTGTTGCTGCTCCATTTTCTTTCTTGGGTCAACTTAATGTTCAGTCTTACGTCCTTAACTTGTTCAGAGCAATTGCAACGTGTCCCGCACCATTAATTTTTCAGCCCCTATCCCCCAACCGGCCAACCCTCCCAGGCCCCAGCACTTTGCAGCTACCAGTTAAATTCAATGCCCTTTCACTTCTTCTTTTCTTATTCATTTTTCTTGATTTTCTACTATTTTTAATTACAAAAGTTCTAAATTTAATTTCCATTTTAGATGGAAACATATCAAGACAGATAAAAATAAAATTTTATCCAACTTAAACTCAATTAACAATTTAAATACCTTTATTGAATCTCACTTAACTCGATTCAATTTTTCTTTTAAATAACAAACAATGCATGCTTAATATACAATTGAAAGATTTAATATCAACGAGAAAAAATTTCACTTATGTTTTGAGTAAAAAATTAATATAAAAGGAAAGAAAATGGTAAGATTTAACAATGAGACAAATTACATAATTGATAGCATGTTTCCCATGAACCATTTATCTCAATATAACTGATTTTGAATTAAAATTTTAAGTGATTAACAACAATTAATTCAATCGAAAAAACTAATCGTTTTAATTTTAAACGATTTTGAGTTTCAGAGACCGTTGTTGTATTCCAAAACATCTTATAATAATCGAGATCCCCATAATGGAAAGAGAAAGAAAAAGAAAAACCTTTGACAAGTATATATATATATATATATATGAGAGGGTGGAAGGTGGAGATAGAGACCCATTATCCATTGTCCAATTTTCCATATGGTTTAAACAGAATCTTGGGGACTGAATCATCAGTTGTTTTGAATTGAAAGAAAGACAAAAAGGATCTTGAATAGTTGTGAAAACCCAAGATACTCTTTATCTCATGAAAGTTGGCCTCTTCTCTTTATACCTTAATTTGCATTCAAAGCATTTGGAGCTGCCTCATCAGCATATTATTCCTTCTAACCTTGCTTTCTATATATATATATATATTATATATTATATTACTTTAATTATATGCCAAAACTTTGAACATATTCCAGCTGAGAACAACACAACTCATTGTCCAAGGACAATGCCACTACATTATTTTTATGACATGGTTAAATTTCATTATTGAAACAAAGATATACGAAATTTCAAAAGGTCTAATTAAAATTTAAATTTATTATAGGATTTTTAATTTTGTATAATTAACGGTTATGAATCTCACGTTATAAGCGATCGATAAATACTATCTAAAAATATTTTATAAAATTAACCCGACACCTTAGTATGGATCTTTTTGTTCATTTTTTTTCAAAAAATTAATTTATGTTTTAATAATAAATTCAACATGCAAGTACAAGATTGAATAATTTATAATTTTTTTTAAGGTGAAATCATGGAAAGTGAGTGAGGAAGATTGAAAGCAACAATTCTTGTTTTAATTGTTAATCAAAATATTGGGAGCATTTAGTAACTAAATATGGTATTTGTCATTTCATGCAAGAGCATCTCCCTAGTTTTGTGCTGATTACTACAACAAAATCTTAAACCTAGAAAATCACCTTGTTTAAGACAACAAATGGTTTTGTCACATTGTGTTTCTTTTGGAGCAGAACCTTTGATTTTTTTTAAGAATGCTTTTGATGATTATAATGTTTTATTGTTGGACTTCACCAAAACAAAATACAACAAAGTTAATGCCCAATTCACATCTGCAGCCACTCAAGAATCCTACTGGAATATTTCCTTTTCTCCCTCTATATATAATTTGACAAAATGTTTATATACATATAATATTATTAATCAAGATATCTTCTAAACCGACTTAATACACTCAAGATTTTACTATTATAATATATCTCTGTCGAATCTTAATTGATAAAGAAAGAGAACTCATTTCTTTATCAACTGGGTTAATTCGTATTGAGTAAAGGTCGTGAATGTTGCTTTAAAGAATACTTGTCTTATTTTCGGGATTAATTGTCTTGTATTACTAGTCAATTGGCCCTCTCCAAATTAATTCAACATCTATTTCTAGGACACCTTGGTGAGAAAAACGTTTACGTTTGATTGGAAAAGGACAAATTGGTTGTTGTTGAGACAGATTTTGTGGATGTAAGAAAAGAGCATGTTTCACATGCATCATGGATTCACATGTATTTGAACAATTTGATAAGGAGAAGAAAAAAGAAGGAAGAAAATTGTTATAGCTTTAACTCATTAAAGATTTGATTAATTAATAGTTATCTACACCAAACAATATTAATTTTACATAATAGTCGATATAGAATGAGTCACGAGATATTATCGTCATTTAATTAAAGTCTAATTGAAGCGTTATGGTAAGTTCTTAATCGTCATAGCATAAAAGATACTCACGTTTCCTCAAGTAGACAAGAGTAAGCCTCTGATTTATTTAGAGGCGTGGAGGTTAGTGCAACTTATTTTCAATGTTATCCCTACATTTAACTAATACTATACATACTACAATTTGCTTCTAGATCATCCTTATTGAGTAGATGAGTGCCACAAATACTATAATAAGGAGTGGGATGTGAAGAGAAACGCGTGGATGTTTGGTTCCAGAAGGAAAGACTTGATAGAGTTAGTGGGGTGGGCAAATGTTATACCTAAAAACACAACATCATATGCTAGTTCTTCAGTGCAATGCTAGAATTTTGGAATTTTTTTGACATATGGATGCAAACAAAAGTTTTCGGCAGTTACAGGGCCAGCCCGGACCAGGTCGGACAATCACTTACCGTCAGGGTGTTTCTTCATCAAACAATAACTAGACTCGGAAACTGAATGATGCAAAGAGACAACCTTGCACATACCTTAACAGCCCGTTGAGTGCTTTTCATGACTACTTAGGTAGGTAAGTAGATAAAAGGCAAGATGATACTTTCAATAACTAGCACAGAATAAATTGTTATTTTTATTATTCTACATACAGAACTTGTTATGAAAAGAAAGGTCTTCCTATACTCCAAGGATGCTCAATTTTAAAGCACAGTAGTTTAGATGTTGACAGAAAATATTCTTTGGTACTTTTTATCATTTTTAAACAGATGTGTTGGTAAACCTTAAATCAGGCTTACCCTGGAAAGTTTATCTGGCTTCAGTTCTCTTAGTTGCTCTGTTCTTGTTCTTGTATCTCAGTGGAGCTCATGCCCGGAAAACCCCCATTTATGTCCACTACACCTGCAGACTCAGATATTTTTGTGATCCTCTGTAACTCATCAGTTGCCTCTAAAGGGCGAGCCACTGACTGATCATCAGCCAATTCCTCCTGTTTAGCAGCGTCTTTCAGAGCAGACGATTTTGGGCGTCGAATGGCTTCAGCAGCTTCTGGCATTGCCACAGGTGGTGGCTGGGGAGGAACCCATGTACGTTGAACTGGTGGTTCATTGGTTTTCACCCCATAAGGTCCAGCCTTAAGTTCATCTTCATTTTCAACCTCTGTGATTCTGACATTTTTCCGTTGCCACCAAGGTGTCGAGCTCTCATCGTCAACCAAATAGTTTAACCCATTGTCTTGAACTTTTTGAATCAAGCCATCGCCACTTCCATGAGACTGGAGTACCTGGCTGGAGCCATTTTGGGCCTCCCAAGGCTGCTCATTTAAAAACACAAATAATACTCACATTTGGGCAAATTAAAGGCACCTTGGCAGGACCCTTTATAAGTCATATTTCTCAGCAAATGAAAGCAGTAGTACCAATATTTTCCAAGAATTCTAACATTCTAATGGCATGAATACAGTGGCAATTTCAAAATTATCCCAAGAAATAAAACATGGTGACCAAGATTTGATTATATTTCTGTAGATTGACCCTCCCCAGACCCTGAGATGCAGAAACCTGATCCAGAGGGCCACTCTTTTCATCCAAAGCATCAAATCAGTAACTATTTGGTAAATAGATTAGTTATGGTCCCATATAGGTGATCAACAAACTCGTCAACTATAATACTTAAAATATCCAATTTTTCCAAGATTTTAAGTAGTTAACCACATTGAAGTGGAATCCTAGTAGTCTATGTATATAATGCAAGAGGAAAATGACCCAAAAGATTAATGAAAACCTCCAAAACACACCTTAGTTCTTGGTGCTATGCGAGGATTTGATGGTTGCTGGTTAGGGTTGGGAGGCATATCATTGATTTCCTGCATAAGAATCAGAAATGGCAGAGTTACCATTGATGCAATAGACAAGCTAATATCAACATAGAAATGTAAACTGGTTTACTCTGATATTTGAAGGTTTCTCCCCTCTCTGGACCATGGCCATAATCTGCAACATAATTACAAGTCTCAATTAGTAAAATTGCTTCAAAACCTATCCAAAAATATAATTTTTGTTTTGAAACTGTTAGAGACAGACTGTAAGACCAAGTAAATTAAAAATTCAAACTCAGTCATAGCTTGGACTATGTGAATTAAGGATAGCAAGTAAACTATGCAATACAGAGGACTGTGGAACATTATTATAGTACTTCTTTTTAAGGATGTCTGAGTAGCAAAAAGATCAAGAGAATTACTACCTCCATATATGACTTTGGGTGAGGTGGTTCCGCAGATGCAGGCGGTGAGGCAGATCTCACTGCACAGGAAATCCTTGTTATATGGTACAGGAATTCAAACTGTTTAACAGACTACATAACTAACTTCCAGAATATGAATCACAGGTAAATTACCTGAGCGCACATCAGCATCTGCCATGCCATTCACATAGGATTGCTGCAAAGTCATTTTTTATTCAGTAATAACTCATCTTGCACACCTCAAACAGGGATCAGGGAATTTATTTTCCAATACAGATATAAAGCATTCAGAGTCAACACCTGGTTTCAGCATACCTTTGTACTTGAGGCAGATACTCTGTGATCTTCATGATCAACAAATGTTCTGCTAGAGCTATTAGCTTGTCCTAATGGTTAGGCAAACACGAGAATTTAGTAATGAACTTAAACAACTAATCAACCACCATTGGGGGGTCTTATGCAGAAATCTAAACTACATTCAGGCACAAAAAGCTAACAATAACACTATTTATCATAATTTGATAATAATAATAAGGCATAATACCTTAAAAAGTCCCTAAATTATTCAAGAAAATTCAAATAAATCTTTATTTTTTAATTGTATTTAATCAAGCTGTTATACTTTTAATTTGAACCAAATACATCCTTGTACTTTCATTTTGAGTCAAATAAATCCTTCTAACTAATAGTTAACGCAATCAAAATGGCACTTGTCATTCTATGCCATGTGCAACTGATGTGGCATACTGACATGCCATAATGGATGATGACATAATCATGTGGTATTTTTTACCCTCCACATCAATGCCATGTGGATATAAAACGATAAGTGGCATTTTGACTAATGATAATTAGTCAACCATTAGTCATAAAGACTTATTTGACTCAAATTAAAATACATGGACTTGATTGAACGCGATAGAAGAATAAAGATTCATTTGAAATTTCTTGAATAGTTAAGGGACTTTTTTGAGCATTTTGCCTATATATTTATTGCATAGCAACAGGAGAAAATCAGACTTAAAAAACCAAAACAAATGCATTTATTGCATCATTGTATTGTCTAGTTTACCACGAGTTGAGAAGCTTTTGTGGGCCAGAAACTTGAGAGAATGCTCTACAAGTCAGGTATCAACATTCACAGCTGAGATAATTTCCAGCATGATGTTTATTAACCAAGGACGTGGTACAAAACACTAGTATTTCCTCTAACTAGTGTTCATTTAATAATTTCTGGGGATCAATTGTTGGTAATGCAACAATTCAGATATAAGCAAGGGCATAAAAGGAAAAGTTCAAGAATCAAAGTCCACGAATGTTTCATAGTTTGACTAAAAGTAGGATCTAAGCACCTTCCAATTTCCTTATGGCATTACTCATTGACTTCATTTCTTGTACTTGCACATCTATCAGATTCATAAACTCCTCAAAGCGCCTTCTCTCTGACAAGGATCAAACTAGGTTCAGTAAATCAAGAAGATAATTACTTAGGCATAAGGAAAAAGACCAATAACACATAAACAAACTACTCAGTAAAACAAAAAGGTCATTAGAATCCCACCTTCATTTTTGGAGTTCAACATTTCCTGGCTTGCTCTTGCAACATCAGCAGCTGCAGCTGCAGCTGCTTTTGCTGCAGCAGCTGCCTCTTCTGCCAAACTTGGTTTTGCATCACTTTTCTTGGCATTTTCATTCTCTTCTTCCAACACAACTTTACGAATCCAAGACTTCAACCTTGGGATAATAGCATTCTAAAACAAAAAAGACATTATCTGAACATGCAATATAACTGTGAGAAAACCCTAGGTTATGCAATTTCACTTGAAGTGGGATATAAGCAGTTTGAAGAGATGGCAACCGAATATGTAAGTTAGGCTAGGCATTAACATATGATATATCTTACTAAATATGAAATGATAGAAGATGTACTATTTTTTTGGATAATGATACAATAGAAGATATTGATACCTTGATTAATACAGCTGTGCCAGCTCCTGAAGCTGCCAGTACCCCTACAGCAAAAACAGCGTGATACCAGCGAAACTGCCTCCGTGCAAGTGTCCCGGCAGACACAATACCAGTAGGAGCAGCTGCTACAGGCTGGGGAGTTTGCATTGTGGCTTGAGTTTGAACGCTAGATGAAGGCTTCACTTGTCCATCTGGTTGCAGTATGATACAGTAACAAAACAGCATCAGTGATGCAAGGATAAGAAAAAAGGCTTGGCTCCCACTTTACTAATACAATGTATTACCATGGTTCGAACTAGCAGGCTGTGTACTAGGAGGAGGGTCCTGTTAAGAATCAATGAATGCTTCATAAGAAACATATCATGAGAATAAAAATATCAAGATAATAAACCAAACCAAAACAATTAGTATCTTTCTTACAGGCACACGCCGAAAAGCTTCATCAATTTCCTCCTTTGTAAGGCCTTTCCTCTCGAGAAATGATCGTCTATAAATAACAGGGGAACCCCTAACTTTGGGATGTGAAAGAAATTTGACAGCATTCGAAACCTGGTCCTCTCTTATCGGTTCGGAGTTCACAAACACAGATGCTGGAACATTCGGCTTAGCAGCCTCTGGCCTAACATCTTGTTGAACCTCATTTGCTTGTTGTACAACCTCTGCAGCAATGGATTTCTAAAATTAGAATCATTCATCTATCCTACACATACAATTTTTTTTTCTTCTTTTTTCCCTTTTAATTGCTTCCAATTTCTCACTTTCCCCAAGACCCAGAGCTCCTTTTTCATATAATTCAGCTTACAAGACCGCTTCAAAGTAAGGAAATTCATGTAAAAAACTTGGGTTTAATTCTACGTTAATAGAATGTCAAAATTATCAAGTTTACCGACTACAAATACAAAAAAAAAAATCTTGAAGAAAAAGGAGAACGTAATAGAGAAATCAGACCTGGAGTAGTTTGGGGCTTATCTTCGGTGGAATAGGGAGGAGCAGGGGACTGAGTCGTCGCCATAACAAGCTCACTGAGTTAGAAAGAGAAAAAAGTTATACAGGTGAGTATAAAACAAACTAGAATCAATAGTAACAGAAAGAGCCGAAGTCGAAAACAAAAGGTGATTCCGGAAAACAAAGCTTACAAGGTTGGTGACGACAGATGATACGAAAAGAAAAGAGTCCGAAGAAACGGGTTTTGCTTATATCGATGCTGCTGCCACCATCATCTTCTCACCATCTATTTTATTCCAACAATCTCAAGCTCAATCTCATCTTCTTCTTCGTCGCTGGTGGCTTTGGGCCTTGTGATTGCTAATACGTAAACGTGGAAAAGAAAAGGAAGACGCCAAATTTTTGGTCCGAAAATCGTATAATATGATTTCTTACTGCCCTTGGTTTCTTGGATTGGGCTTCCTTTGTTCCCTTAAAATCTTTACTCACCTTTTTGGGTTTTTACATATTCATCTAAACCCAACCTTTGAAATAAAATATTTGATCGATTTGTTCGATTCGGTTTTAATTAATTAAAATTTTACAAAAATAATTAAAATTAATCAAATTATAATTAAAGTTTGAAAATAATCAAAATCAACTTATCTTGATCAGTTTTAGCTATTTTAGATAGTAGGGTTTTTTTAATATGAAAAAGGGATTTCAGACTTATTTTTTGAAGTTTATTGCCAAATTATTAACAATATTTATGTATGTAAAATATTTAAGACTATTATTAATGGTTGGTTTTTCAATCAATTCAAATAGACGTCTTTCCTAACTAATATTTTGTTCGAAATTGAATAATATGATTTCTCATTGTCTTTGGTTTCTTGGATTGGTTTTTGGTTCTTCAACTAAAACTTGTTCTAGTTGTGAAATATAATCTAAGAAAAAAAAAGTAATAATAAAGTAAAAGGATGTTATTGGAGTGTGTTTTTATTAATCAAGTGAGGGGTTATTTATAAGCTAATAGCATAGATAGAATTTATAACAGGATATAATTTGAATAATCTAAATAGAATTTATAACGTAAGATAATGTTAAAGGATTTGATTTGGATGGATAATATTAAAATTAAATCTTAATCTTAATCTTAATTCACTTTAATCTATATCCATATTTAAATATGCATAATTAAATCTAAAAATTTAAATCAAATTGTATTTTTATGTTTGGTCTATCAAGCTATTCAACCTATCAAACTTAGTCTAAACTCTTAAATTTCACATAATAGACATTTTATACATATATTCATAACAATACTCACTTTGAAACTTTATAGCTTTCTATACTCACTTTTTTTGGGCTTTATGCTTATGGGTCAAAGGGGAAAGAAAGGTGTCCAAACTTGACTGTTTAATCAGTATTTTGGGTTCAATTTTAAAATTTTGAAAATAAAATTAGCCAAAATCTCATAAAAAAATCAAAAGTGAATAAATTATAACTAAAAATTAAAAATAATCGAAACTAACTTATCTAAATTACTTTTAACTATTTTAGGGACTATGTTTTTTTTGGACATGAGAGGTGTTATCGAGGTTTATTTGTAAATTATTTATAATATATATAATTATATTTAAAACTATTATTATTGATTGGTTTTTCGATACCAAAAATAGAATGAATTTTCTTTAACAGTTGATTTATTGGTTGATGCATTATTTCTCTGTCTAAAAAACAAAGTTCAAATCTCATTTTTTCTAATTATATAAAAAATATATTGATATAAAAATTAAAAAAACTAATAAAAAATCAATTTTAGTCTATTATTTCGAATTTAAACTCTTCCCTACCAACCTTGGGTCGAATTAGGATGAATGTAATTGGATCATCTAGCCTACCTAAAGAAGGGGCTGATATTTGGGGCCAATCCAACAATTTTGGGTCAGGATTCCTTTGCTTGGATATACTATTTGTGACAATGGCATGAATATATAGAGCTTAATTATCATTTCTTTTTTGAAAATAGAGCTTAATTATCATGTTATACACTTAATTGTGTATTTTATTTATTAATAATAAAACTCCACTCAGTTGCTATTTTTGCCAATTTTTTTTTTTTACTTCCTCAAGCAAATACTTTTGTTAAAGAGTTATAAATAAAATAAATATTTTTAAAATAATAAAATTTGATATTATACTTTTATATGCTAAAAATGTTATAATTAGGATCACATTTTAATTATTTATTTATTTTAATCCATTATATGATTATGCATTTAGTTTCTTTCCTAATATTTTATAGGAAATGTATAAAATAAATAACAACACATAGCAAAAATAACAAATGCAAATATCAAAAATAAATTTAAGTACTTTGTTATCATAAACATGTAAATATTTTGCATAATGCATAAAAAACTTTTAAATTATTTAAAAAATTCAAATAAGTGTTTTTTTTATCATATTCAATCAAATTCTTGTATTTTTATTTTGAGTCACATAACCTCTTGTAACTAATAATTTACTAATTATTATTAGTTAAAATATCATTTATCATTTTATATCCAAATAACATTGACATAACATTAATGTAAAGGGTAAAAAAAATTACATGACTATGTTATCATGTCACATCAATATGTTACATTATTATCAATTATGATATGTGAATATACCACATTATTATTAATTATGAAATGTTAGTCTTTCAAGTCAGCGTTACATAATATACAATGACAAATGGCATTTTGATTAAGTCAATCTTTAATCATAAAGACTTATTTAACTTAAAATAAAAATATAAAAACTTAATTGGTTTAAAGCAAAAATACAAAAATTTAATTGAACATAATAAGAATATAAGAATTTATTTGAATTTTTTAAAATAATTTAGGGGTTTTTTGATATTATGTCTAAATATATAATTCAAGGATAAACACATTATATTTGACTTTGAAGAATTAGGAATTAATCACATAAATAATTTTATGTCTATGCATATAGTGTCATGAGTCTATGTCTTCAACTCATAACACGTGTCTATTAAGTGAAAGAAAATACTTATATATAAATTTAAGACTTATCTTATCCCTTATTGATATAAATTCGTGACATATAATATATATTTCTTGAAGAACAAAAAGTTAACAAAAGGTCAACGCTTCAATATTGATTAATGGATAAAAGTATGTAAAACAAGAAGAGTTGTTTGGAAAGAACAAGAAAGAAGCATTATTGTTAGGTAAAGTTTTTCTTAGTCAAGTTGCTAAGTTTCTACCTAACGTTGATTTTAATATAAATTAATGACTAAAATGTCAAAAATATGATTAGACATGATTTATACATAAAATTTAATCGATAATTATTAAACAATGAAATTTATGTTAAATTTTTAAAATAAATATATAATTTTAAATTAATTAATAATAGGTAGAAAGATCATTATTATATTTATATATTTAAGATATACTTTTAATTTAACAAATATAAATTATTATTATTATTATTATTTCAATACTCTCTTTTACTTGTAAGGATCATGGATCGATTACCTAACATGAATCAATTGATCGTAGACAACAACGAGAGAGGCGTGTCTCGATTTTAGATTGGATATAAGTTCTAAAAATTCAACATGATTTCAAAACACCGCTTCAATTATTTATTTATTTTAATTATAATAGAAAATTTATAAATTTGATAAAAACAGCTGCATTTAAATCTTACACATTAGGAGAACTAGATCCCAAAGAAATATACTTGAATCTATTTATGGTATATAGCATTCACTAGAGTTAGTAAACTTTCACGCATTAATCGGATAGCAAAATTCACAGTTTTTAAGATTCCGTTTAATTGATATTTTCATTTATTTATTTAAAAAAACAAAAAGTAAAAGTATTAATCATTTGAAGGAATATATATTTTCATTCTAAGTCCATTTGCAATAGCTTAATGATTAAAGCAAAAGACAAGTCCACTGCAAATACTAATAATTGTCTTCCATTTTGGACTTGTGATATCTTATTTCCTTCAACCTTTTGTAGTTTCTGTCTTGCACTTTCCCTTTTTATTTATAACCTTTGGACCCTATATTGAAAGCACATGCATGGCTTGCATTCAATGATACCTTTGAAACCCAAATGACTATAAATAATATAAAAATTGAATACGTTCTTATCAGCTTAATAACCTATTGGAACTTTTTATTTGATAATTTGTAATCTTTATGACATTTTATGTGTAATTATTAAAAAAAAAAAGGATTAGATCCAAGGGCAGAGGGAAAGGGGCGACACCATCAATTTTTAATTAATTAATTTTTATATATAATTAAAAATATCTAGATTTGTCGCTACTACACAAATCAAATGTGTTGTTTTGGAATAGTGGTAAGAAACTTAAGTTAATCTTTAGTGGCCTAGGTTTAATTCTTTTTAGGTCTAAATTTTGAAATTATTTTTCTTTTTTTTTCTCTCCTTTATAAATATACTAAACCTTTTCTTTTAATTTCAACTTTTTTTTCCTTTAAAAGCATGAAATCACGTTGATTTTTTTTCTTTCATGTCAAGCACAATCTACAATGCTTAATGTAAAAATCTAATATTAATTTTTCTTTGTACTTTATGTCTTTTATATTAGTGAATCTGAAAACTTATATAAATTTAAATTGTTAATAAAATTTTATGTTATAATTTAATCAAATACAATTTACGATACCTAATGTGCAAATCTAATGTTAATTTTGCTTTCTACTTTATGTCTATTTATATTGGTGAATTTGAAAAGTTATATAAATTTAAATTGTTAATTAAATTTTATATTAAATTTTAATTTTATATCACAAATGATTATTTTTTTACTCAGAATCGAATCATTGACCTGATCCATAACTCAATCCATGTTCTTGTATGATTACTATGTAGCCACTCTTCATACAAAATCTTCGATCTACCATTGATTAGATCCAAAACATACAATAGCAAATAAGAAATTAATTATTAGGATTAGGTGGTAGATCAATCCATAAATATTAAAGAAATAATTAGAGATCGAGGGAAGGTTTTTTCTTTTGAACAACCTCGAAGTAAAGTAACGATGGAAAGATTCAAATTTTATTGTTTTAATTAAAGAATCATGCACTAACAGTTCTTTTAGTTAATTATTGTAGTATTAAAATATTTGCTTTTACTCATGGTTGGTTGGCGAATGTTTTCAAAGGGACCATGTGATTAACTTCATAATTAATTAGAACCCTAAATTAAGTTCTTAGACAAGAGCATGGTAAACTGTGTGTTTAGGTATTAACCCAAATTTTTTAAATCCTAGAAGGCTCCTAGGAAACAATCACATCAATTTTTTTGTGCATCAATATGGTGACTATATGCACGAAATATTTAACTATATTCTCATAATTAATTAATTTTGAGATGTACCAATACTTGGTAATGGTAATAAAATATGCATTGATCTTTTGTCTCGTTTGTAAAATTAAAAAATTTCAGTCTCGTAATCATAATTATCCTTTATTCATATTATATAATAATAAATAAATAATTATAAATTTATATATCGCATGCCCTTACGGTCGAGAAAATCCAACAAAAAGTCCAAGATAGTTAGTGAAGTAGATAAAGGATCTGATGATTAAAAGAAAAAAAAATAAAAAGGAATAATAGGATGACTTGCTCATAAATCTCCATAATTATTTACCAAGAAATTATATATTGGAATTGAATTTATTTATCAAAATTCCTGGGAAATTATTAAACTGAGAAACTAAGAGGATAGGCATAGAATTTTGTGAAGTCTCAAATATTTTTTCCTCCACATTCTTAGATGTATCGAAATATGGAAGGGTTTCTTTGACTGAATCGTTCAACTTGCAGCACCTCGATATGGAAGCTTGGACGACAAGTCTAACATTAACCATTTGATTCCCAAGATTCATTTCGATCCAAACTTTACAATTACATTAGTTTGGATTACATGTGAAAGGGTTGAAGTATTGCCAGAAAAAGCAAAAGCCAAGTCTACCTAGTACAGGAAACAAAGAAGAAGAGTAATATAGACAAGTCTTAATTAACCAAACCTCTGAAAGCCAAGTCTATCTAATACACCATTAATGGAAAAAGGCTGACCGGCCTCTATGTGTAAGCAGGATTCTTGGCAACTGATCAAGAGGTTCAGACTTTCTAATAAAAAATTAACGATTATCAGATTTAATATTAACTAATTAGTTTCTTTCAATGTGACATATGACATGATTATGTAACAGTTAAAAAATTAATGTGATTAAGTCATGTTAATTGATATTGAATGCAAGAGTTTGTTAAAATTAAACATTTATTCTTTGAATACATTAAAAATATAAAGGCTAGCCTGTATACAGAAGGTTTGTGTACAGGTTCTATTTTGTTGATGCTTAATCTGGTAGTGGAGGTTCACTTTGGGAGGTAGGTTAGGCTAACCTCAGGGAGGTGAACGAGTTGGAAAACAGGTGGAAGGGGACTACCAGATGACACTGCAGATTATTTTTTAATGGAGTGGGTGCACGCTGTTGCTATATATGCCTCCTAGCTTATCTATATTTTATATGTCTTCTTATTATAATATAATCTCATTAGTTTTCCAAAAAAAAAAAAGAAAACAAAGGCTGTTTTAATATTAATGTCAGCCTTCTTTTATTACTTTATTATGCCTAGATTAATTAACACGTATGACCTTAATAAGCATGAGCTAGTTCTAGGAATGTTCTTGTCAAAGTGATAAAGGAGATTCAATGGTAAATGAAAAGGTGTAGTAAGTGGAGAGGGCAGTTGGATATAGAGAGGAATTTCTTCTGATGAAACAAACACGAAATGAATAATAGGAAAAAGTGAGAAACGTGTTTGATTTTCTAGCTAATTAATAATACATTGTCGTGACATTAGAAACAATGGTATAGTCTAGAACGTCATTTTTGAAAGGACGACCATGTCTTGGAAGCCTAAACTCAGTCTATAAATAGCAGCTTGAAGCTGCATGAAGGATGTATCATTTAGCTCTAATATCTCTATTCGTGTTAGCTGAAGTGTTTAGGAAACTAAGCCTGTTTTCTTCGTAAAAGTTCACAGCATTGTATTGCGCCTTAGACAAGGTTAGTTCGTTGATTGATTTTGAGAATTGTAGAAAGTGAGCAATTACCGACGAGTTAATTAACGTAAAGATCTTATGTTTTCATTTCGTGAGATAAAATTTTTCTCTGGAATTGTTGTTTTGGTGTTTCCAACTGTCTTCCTAGCTTTGGCTAGAGGAACTTACCCTTTCACTTTATTTAAATTTTTAATCAAATTATTTTGCCTTTGAAAAGACAATAAAAAAGAACTTTAATTTCTTGATTGATATTCTTGCATGTGGGTACATATTCCATGCATGCTTTTTCTCACTCCAAAAGGTTATGAATCCATTGCTGGTTTAAGTTTGTCATGCATGTTTCTTTTAACTGTAAATTTTGTAACTTTTTTGGCAGTAAGAAGTCATGGAAATGGCAAAGCACTCTGCTGAAGTGGTTGTTGAAGGACTGAAGAAGATCCTCATCAGGTTTCAGTATCCAATATTCGGTTATCTATTCAGAGAAAATAATATTAGGTTTATTAACCAAGGTCTGAGAATTGCAACTAATGGTAGATAGGACTAAGAAAATATTTATTTGTTAGTTGCAGGGAGAGAGAAGGCCTGGATCAGGAGGTTCAAGGAAAAGTTGAGAGGCTTATTGCTGAGCTCCAAGGGAAAAGGCCTCCATTCGACCCAGATGCTCGAAGGATTGAAGATGGCTTTGACTTCTTCAAGAAGAACATATATGAGTAAGATGGCAAACTCTGACTAGAATTCATCCCTATCTGTAGCAATTTTGAAGAACTTAATGTAGTTTAACTTTTAACCAAACATTGTTTTGACTTTGTTAGTTCAATTATTAAAAAAAAAAAAACATAAATTTCTATTTTTTTAAGTTATAGTTCAATACAAACGAAAGATTCAGAGATCAATTTTGTGAAATCAATTATTTCTAAAATTAATTAATTATTAATAACAAGTGTAGTTATCTTTATGTGTCGACTTTAATCAACTTATCTATCATGTTATATACAATCTGAAAGATATATCAAATTTATTAGCTTTCCACCTAAGTTTTTAAGATTTCAATGTGGAGGGTAACATTCTACCTAGATGCATGCTTGAGAAGAACCAATACTTCTAATGCTCATGGAAATTGGAAACAAGATGTAGTGGAGAACTTAATCAATGGATACTGACACTAATTTTTCTGCTTTAATGCAGCCAACATCCTGATTATTTCAGAGAACTTGCAGAAGGCCAACACCCGAGGGTAAATCACTTTCCAACCCAAAGTTCTTAATCACTTTTTTTTTCTAATTTAATAATGATTAATTAAGGTTATGTAATGCTAATTTATTAATTAATCTGCTGTTAATTCATTGTTCAGTTTTTGGTCTTTTCATGCTCGGATTCCCGAGTAAGCCCCTCAGTTGTTCTTAATTTCAAGCCAGGAGAAGCTTTCGGTGGCCGCAACATTGCTAATATGGTTCCTCAATTCGACCAGGTTAATTTCCCAAACCTTTTTCTTTCTTTTGGTGAAGTAAATTCTTATTTAAAAAAATAAAAAAGTCCTTTTAATAAAAGAAAAATTGTTCTTAATTAATTCTTACATCTATGGTCAAGCAGAAAAATTCATACTGATACTAATTTTATATTTTATCACATATCCCTTTAATAATAAATGAACAGATTAATTATTATCAAGCTACAAATTTAAATATTTGATTCAATAATAAATACATATATTTTGAAATCTACATTTCTCCTAATATTGTTTATTGCTTATATTGCACAGCTGAGACACACCGAAATTGGTTCAGTCATTGAATATGCTGTTAAAGCTCTTGAGGTGAAACATCTAAACTTTAGAATTCAACTCTTGTGTTCATTTCTCTTTATTTTTCCCCTGCCCTTCCTCCCCAGTTTTGTTCCTCGTATCAGAAATTTCTGTGTAACAAATGGAAGACAAAATACATTTACAGGTACAAAACATCCTGGTCATGGGACATAGTCGTTGTGGTGGGATAGAGAGGCTCATGAAGCTTCCGGACAAGAGTACTACTTAGTAAGCCTGTGAACTCAAATTTTTTGTTCTGAAAGATCCCACAAGTTTTTGTCAGATAAAAAGATTGGATTCTCATTTGTCTAACTTCATCCAACATGAGTTGTGCAGTGACTTCATAGATCAGTGGGTGCAAATTGGTTTGCCAGCAAAGCTCAAGGTCCTGGCAGAGGCTAATGATCTGACATTTGAAGAACAATGCAGGCTGTGTGAAAAGGTAAAATCACAAGCTGCCCCAGCATGTTTCTGTCATCAAATTGAACAAGGATATATTCCATGGCAGACCATCTAATTAACAGAAAAGTAATCAATCCACAAATTGTGATGCAGGAATCAGTGAAGAACTCGATGGCAAATCTGCTGACTTATCCATTTGTGAGAAATGCAGTGGTGAGTGGAACTCTGACATTGAGGGGAGGTTATTATGATTTTGTGAATGGAACTTTTGAGCAATGGAAGATGTGTACAGAACCAATGCCTCCAATGCCTATGCCCTTCTAACAATATTTGCAAGTTTTAGACACTTAAGTCTCGTCTAGAGATACAAATTAAACCTGTATGAATAAGGCAGAGCAGCTACTGTGAGCTTAGTTTGCTATTTAAATATGTTGTATTTGTTCTACTGTTTCACTTTGTTCATTTTCACTTGCTTAATTAACTAATTAATTGGGTAAAATACCCCCAATCCCTTAAGTTTTGATCAAATTACTATCAGTTTTTAAAATACACACCCTACCACAAACATCTAAACGATATTAATATTAAATATAAAATATCTAAAATATCTTTTTTTCATTATTTTTTTCCCTCGAGTCGGCCAACGATGTCACTTGCACCGGCTGACCACCCAACACTCTCCTGGAGAGCACCAAGGCTCCCCAAGGAAGCCTCCGATTGAGAGTTTTTTTTTTAAATTAAAAAATTTTGATAAAATTATATAATAATAATTTGTAAAATTAATAAAGGGTAAAATTATATTTTTAATATTACCACATCATTAAATTGATGAAAACATTAATGATTGATTAACGACTGGACTTATATATCCAACGAAAATTATTTTTTTAAAACGAAGTATTTATTTTGAAAACTAATAAACACGCTTAAAATTTTAATTAAAACTTGAAAGGGTGGAAATATTTTGCCCTTAATTAATTACCTCTCTCTATCATTTCGTTTCATTTCCTTAGAAGGGTAATCAAAACAAACAATCAAAGTCCATTGAAATTGAGTTATTTTGAACATGTAAATGAAAAAAAATATCTCTACACTTATTTCAATTAGCATTAGAGTTTCATTAATTCAATCAAAAAAATTATTTTATTATATTTATTTATGAAATTAAACTCTTATTATTTTATTATACTCAAACAAATTTTTATATTTTGGTTTGTACATACATAATCTTTTAATCTTAATAAAATGTTAAGAATCGTTAAATTCAATACCATTTGACTTTAAATCTGACTATTGTTAAATTTTTGTTAAGATTAATAATTTAGTTATTTGGGTACGACAAAAATATGAGAGCTTTTAGAGCTAAAACAATTTTCTTGCTTTTCCACGTGAATCATTCTCTCTTCTTACATTCTCAAAATCTGTCTCACTAATTGTCTTTTTCCAATCAAACGTAAACGTTTTTCCCACCAAGAGTGTCTTATTCATTTTAGAAGTGGCGAATCAATTTGGAGAGGGACCATTCACTTTTTTTTTCCCTTTTCTCTCCTTTTTTCTTTTTGCTAGCAAGACCTTTTTTTTTTCTACACCCTTTTTCCTTTTTTGTTTCTTTTATTAATGGTTTGGAGGCTTATCATCCATCATTTTCTCTTATTCTCTCTCTTTTTTTTTTTTATAAATCAATCAAACAATTATCATTCGTCAAAATTTAAAAAAAAAATTCTCCTATTCTCCTTTTTCATGAATCAATTAAATATTTTTTTCTCTTTTTTTTCTCTCTAAACCAAATAACTATTAATATGTATTGAAGGATTTGGACTTTTCTCTTATTTTCTTTTTTTGTGAATCAATCACACAACTATCATTCATCAAATTAGAAAAACCCTCTATCCTATTTTCCTTTTTCGGTGAACCAATCAAATAATTTGTTTCTATTTGGCTTTAGCATATATTTTTTCAGATAACTGGATTGACTGACTCTAAACACTTGGTATAACTTTATTAAAATATTTTCTATTATTTTATATAATTTGCTATGGTCTTATAAAAAAAATACGTTACTTAACAATTTACGATACCTAATGTAAAAATCCAATGTTAATTGTTTTTGCTTTATATCTATTTGTATAATTAGTGACTTTGAAATTTATATTTAAATAGTTAATGAAATTTTATGTTAAAATTTAATTTTATTTTAAAAGTGATTAATTTTTGTTTCCGATCGAATCATTGACTTAATCGTATGATTACTTTTAGCCACTTTTTATGCAAAATCATAAATCCACCATTGAATATTATGGTTAATACAAATTAAAGGATAAGTATTTCTTTAGATACAACAAAAAAATTCTGATTTCTTTAAATATTTAAGCCACATATTTATTTATTAATTAAACACATCTCACGTCCTATACATAGCTCTTTTCCGATCGCTTATGTCATTCTGTTTACATTACTTTATTATGTCTAGATTAATTGAAACATATTACTTTGATATAATAGGCATGAACTGTAAAGGTATTTGTCAAAGTGGAGATGATTACAAAGTTAACAGGTGTGGAGAGAATTCAAGATGGAGGGGAATTTCTTTAAGGAACATCCAAGAAATCAATAATTGAAATAAGTGAGGACCATGTCTTGGAAGCCTAAACTCAGCCTATAAATAGCAGCTTGAAGCTGCATGAAACGTGTATATCTTAGCTTTAATATCTCTATACACGTGTTAGCCAAAGTGTTTGGAAACGAAGCCTGTTTTCTTCGTACAAGTTCGAGGCATTATTGCTCCTTAGACAAGGTTAGTTCGTTGATTAATTTTGAGACGTAGAAAGTGAGCATGCCTGCATCATCCATGTTAGAGTTCAAAGAAAGAAAAACGATATACCCGATTTCGTTGCTTACGTTCAAAGAGACAAATTTCATTGTCGACGAGTTAATTAAAATAGAGATCTTATGTATTAAAGATCTTTTAGTCATGATATTGTTGCATGTGGGTGAGTGCCATGCATGCTTTTCTTGCTCCAAAGGGTTATGACTCCATTGCTGGGTGAGTTCCATGTCATGCATGTTAGAATTTACTTTTAACTGTAAAGTTTGTGAATTTTGCAGTAAGAAGGCGTGGAGATGGCTAAGCAATCTCCTGAAGTTGTTGTTGAAGGACTGAAGAAGATTCTCATCAGGTTTCAGTATCCAATATTCGGTTATCTATTCAGAGAAAATAATATTAGGTTTATTAACCAAGGTCTGAGAATTGCAATTAATAGTAGATAGGACTAAGAAAATATTTATATGCTAGTTGCGGGGAGAAAGAAGGCCTGGATCAGGAGGTTCAAGGAAAAGTTGAGAGGCTTATTGCTGAGCTCCAAGGGAAAAGGCCTCCATTCGACCCAGATGCTCGAAGGATTGAAGATGGCTTTGACTTCTTCAAGAAGAACATATATGAGTAAGATGGCAAACTCTGACTAGAATTCATCCCTATCTGTAGCAATTTTGAAGAACTTAATGTAGTTTAACTTTTAACCAAACATTGTTTTGACTTTGTTAGTCCAATTATGCAAAAAAAAAAAAAATTTATTTTTTCTAAGCTATAGTTCAATGCAAACAAAAGATTAAGAGATCAGGTTTGTAAATTCAATTAGCTGTAAAATTAACTAATCATTAATAACAAGTCTAGTTATCTTTACGTGTCGACTTTAATCAATTTATTTGTCATATTATATATAATCCGAAAGATGTTTCAAATTTATTAGCTTTCCACCAAAGTTTTTAAGATTTCAATGTGGAGGGTAACATTCTACCTAGATGCTGCCCCAACATGTTTCTGTCATCAAATTGAACAAGGATATATTCCATGGCTGACCATCTAATTAACAGAAAAGTAATCAATCCACAAATTGTGATGCAGGAATCAGTGAAGAACTCGATGGCAAATCTGCTGACTTATCCATTTATGAGAAATGCAGTGGTGAGTGGAACTCTGACATTGAGGGGAGGTTATTATGATTTTGTGAATGGAACTTTTGAGCAATGGAAGATGTGTACCGAACCAATGCCTCCAATGCCTATGCCCTTCTAAAAATATTTGCAAGTTTTAGACACTGAAGTCTCATCCAGAGACAAATTAAACTTGTATGAATAAGGTAGAGAAGCCATTGTGAGCTTGGTTTGCTCTTAAAATAAGTTGTATTTGTCCTGCTCTTTCACTATCTTCTTTTCACTTGCTTGATCAATTGATTACCTATCTCTGTCTCCTTTCTTTTTCATTATCTTAGAACAAAGTTGGGTAATTAAAAAAAACATAATCAAAGTCCATTAGAATCTGGATGAGAGGCTGAGGCCTATCAGCTGAGACGAAAACTAGACTGTCACTGTTTCTATTGGGGTTCCATTAAAGCTACAATCCCAGCGCAAGCTTCCACAATTAATATATGCCCAAGAGATTACTGTGCAGTCAAAATGGGCTAATGGCCACCCCACATGAACTCTCGTCTTCCCTATGAAGTTTCTTTGCTTTCGTAATATCAAAGGAGTGATAAAAAAAATCTCACATGAGATAGTTTGAATGTATAAATATAGAAAGAGTCGTTTTACTTATTGTTATTAGTTTCAGGTTGGATGTCTATTTAACATTTAACATGTTATAAGAGCAGGATTGCTTCTCTATTATTGTCTTGTTCCTAATAGATTATTTCGTGATAGCTTCATTGTCTTCATATGTGAAAAAAAGTATTGAATGCTGATAAAGAAATCTCATGTCTGATAAGAATATTCTAGGTATATAAATATATCAAAACATTTTCACCTATTATCAATTGGTGGCCATATATATATAAGTAATCATGGTCGCCATATTTCCATCTAAAATGCCATTACCTAGCTATCAAATACATGGGTAAGTGCAAGCACATGCATGATCTTAATCTGGTTTCCAACCTTGATGTGGACGGTAACTTATCCTAATCAACATGGTTCAATGGACCACCACCTTCCTCTACAAGGTTTGAGCAGCCAAATGTCCCCTCCTTTTCGGTCAGGCACCTCTCCAGTGATTCATAGTATGAGAGAAATTTATGTGCTGCACCATGATTGCCTATCATTACATCAATTAAAAGGTCAAATGTTCATATCATTTGAATATCACTTAACAAAAGTTATCTAATGTTATCCAAAGAGAAAAAGAGATTAATTTTTATTAATTGTCTTATCAATTAATAATATAATATTATTTCGTATGCTTCACAGAATCTAAAACTCTTTACCTTTGTCCTCAAATTCATAATTATGCAATTAATTTACAACAATCTTTATATATATATATATATATACACACACACAAAAAGATGATAATGGTGGGGATAATGTCAAGTTTATTTTTGTGTTTTGTATGCTGATTATTAATCCTCGGGTATTATTGTAGGATTTTTCTCATAATTAAGACTCGTTTTTGTGATTTATCTGTTAAATCGTTTGTTATATATCAATAAACATTGAATTTATTTTATTAAAAAAATAAATAAATAGGACCTTTGTTAAAGGTCGTATTTGATGATATGTGAAAGGACCTTTGTTACCACATGAGCATGTGACTGTATAACCTGCTAGAAACCTATCTCCCTCAAAAATTTATTGTAGTAGAGAGCAAAGAGACAAACCCACTTTATTTTTCCTTTCTTTCTTGTTATGACTTTCTCAGTGCGAATGAGTTTGTCTTTGAAAGTGAAATTGAGTAGAATGAATGTGAGCAGGCAACTTTATGCACATTATTTCAAAAGGAGCAATAAGTTTTGTTGAGTGGTGTAGATGACACATTCAAAAGCAAATTTGTAAACAGGAGCTGCCTTACTTGCCTGTATCAGACAACAAGGTCCATGCCCCATCCCCTTCCGCTGCTTGGCAGAGAGGCCATGGTGGTGTTGATGAAACCTTTTGTACCATGATTTTGATGGGTCCAAGCCCCTTTTGTTGTCTTCATGCAATCCGGGATTTGTACCATTATGTAGAAACAAAAAAGCAAAGATTCCCCCTCTGTCCTCTCAGATTTCCAAAGTAACATTTCTCCTCCATATTCTGTGCCTTTTTATCTATCTCAATTTACTTTGTAGATCATAGAGAGAATGGATGATCACGAGGAGAGGAAATTATTGTGTGAAAAATTTCAACTGTGCAATGATCATTGATGAGGATAGCAACCAAACAAGAAGAAAAAAACAAAGGTAAAAGGAACTGTAAGTATATACAGTGGGTAAAAGCCGATGCCAAGCCTGGAAAGATTGATGTTTTCCTGGTCTATTTGTTATCAGAGGCACTTGGTCTTTCTGCTATAAAAGCTCTGGTGGTGAATTTCAGGGTGGTTCCATGGCAGATAGCTTTCTAACGACATTAATTTCCACCTCTCTTTCAGACTGGTACAATCAATGTGACACATCGACGAAGGATTCTTGGTCAATGAGGGTAGCACCACGTTAATTAATTCCTTCGTGCTCGCCGTTAATGATTTAATTTATTTAAAAAATATATGTTAAAAAGATAAAATTATTCATCTAAAGATTAATTTTTTAAAAAAAAGTGTAACCTTTTATATATTTATACTAACTTGTGACATTTGGCGATGTGTCAAACATTATTTTTAACTAAATACCATAAGTTTTATATTTTATAACAAAAGAAACAACTAGATTTAAGTCCATCTAAAATATGGACGAGAAATTAATTATATTATATTTATGATTAAGTATGGTATCTATAAACTTGATGCAACAAGATCATCTTTCTATCTCTCCCTACCCTAGCCTCAGGTATTTAATTTGCAATAAGATCATCAATAATTGTTGTCTGGAAGGCTATAGCCATGGCTTAGCCCAATCTATGTCGAATGGCATGTAACTAGCACATGTAATTCAGACAAAATAATAGAGACTATATATCTATTTATTTTTTACTTTATAACCTAAGATCATATACATGCATAAAATATTTATATATGTGCACCAATTGGACCTAAAAATCTGTTTTCATTAAGGAGCTTATGAGATTACAAGAAGGGGAAATTGCTGTTTACAAGCCAAGCCAAACAAAATCAAGAGACTCATCTAAGAACTCCATCAGATTGGGTGTATGCGACCTAAGCTCGTTATGGAAAAACCAAGTAGAGCTTTCGTAGTCATCAGTAATGGCAATCAGCCCTTGTGCACCCTCGCAATCAACTGCATTTTGAGAGTCCCCTTCTGATGCCGTAATCACTTTCGGGTTCACATGACCTCCACCATCACAACTATGGGAAAGTTTAGAATTTTGACTGGAAGATGTACTGAAATCCTGCCTTGATTTCCCGATCGAAATTCGTGAAGAAGCGTTAACTTTATTTTTTCCCTTCTTGATACCAAGCTTCTTGCTCAAATGAGTGTTCCAATGATTCTTCACTTGATTGTCTGTTCGTCCGGGAACCCGACCAGCTATCAACGACCACCTTCAAGGTAAGAGTGATTGAATTCAGTATATGTTTGAACAGTAAATGACAATGTAAACAGTCCCCCATTTGTGTAGAGCAGCTGTAACTATATATATTAATTAGGTACACCATGATTACAATGTTTGTAAATGGATGACTATAATTACTGGTGTAGAAATGGCATATATTTGCCAATAATGATCTTCCCACCAACCAACAGCTCATACTTGTAAAGACAGCTTTGATTACTGGTGGAATCCAAAGTGGTACCCAGGATTGGTCAGGAGAGAGAATAAACAAAAGGGGGAGGGGCTAGAATTAACATATACTTAAAAGCACTATTAAACTTTTAGGACGGAAGGACAAGTAAAAAGGACTCTTGTCACGTGGTAACATATCACGGAAGGAATAACAACGGGAAGAACAGTATCTCCTCTGATACAACAATGGGAGGAGCGGTGCTTGCTCTGATATAATCACTCAACAGATGTGGAGGTGTTTAGCCTTCTTTTGGCCTGAAATTGAAAGAAGGAAAAAAAAATGTACGAACCTGTTGCCAAGGAGATTATGAAGGCGAATGATAAGGTCATTTTCTTCCTCAGAGAAATCGCCACGCTTAACACCAGGGCTAAGGTAGTTGATCCACCTCAATCTGCAGCTTTTGCCGCACCTCTTCAAGCCTGCACCCAGAGTGACAAGAAACAGTCAGATTTAGTAAGTTTCTAGCCATACAACACCCCCACCACCGACGCCAACTTAACCAGCTTGCTTCTAGGGAAACTTAACAGCTTTGTTACAGCTAACCTGTAATCTTCGGAATCCGATTCCATTTCCCTTTGCCATGCACCCGTACGTAATCCATTAGAATCCTATCCTCCTCCACTGTCCACAGCCCTTTTTTATAGTCACTACTCTTCTCTTCCATATCCCTCATTGCAGTTAAAAAGTAACCTGGGCTCTTTTCTTTCTAAGAGAAAGAGAAGAAAAAGAGAGGCTGGGAAGTGCTCTTAGATAATTTGGGAAGTTTCATTAGCAGTAGCCTGCTGCCTATATAGTTGTGTAACAGTGTGATAGTGAGGAAATTTAGGAAGGATGATCTTTGTGTGGTGGTGGGTTGGCTTTTCTAGGGACACACTAAGAAAGGGTTGCCAAGGCCCATATGTAGGGTCCGAAGCTAGCCTTTAGTCAGGAACGGTGGAAGGGGGGTATCTTTAATTTTGATGTATACGATTATAAAATTGAATATAAATATTTTACCTTTAACTCGCTGGAGCCCTATTAATAATATCTAACAAAAAATAAAATAAATACAGAAAGTAGATGGGCTTTATTAATAATATCTAAGTAGCTATATATGCACATTGTTTTCTCTGGAAAATGGCTAAAAGTCACTCTCAGGGTAATGCAGCTTGAGGCCATCATCCATCTAAACAAAAATAAGAAATGTGAAATCTAGGTGAATGTTAGTGTTACTTTCCTGTATCTGTGTTCAAAAATGGGATCACATCCCCCACTTTTCCTTTTTATCAATTTACCATGACAATGAGCTAGGGTCAGTACTGCGAGGTAGAAGAAATATTCCTGCCTTTTTGACCTGGTGGTATGAGTAAGGGCAGAAGTGAAAGAAATCTGGTGAATATGCAAAGTTGAAAGACATGACAAGAAATCTGGGTCAGGTGATACAGACAGAAAATTTAATATAAGAAAAAGAGCGAAGAGGCTGCAGCTGTGGGGGATCAGACAGACACCCCATGAAGTCCTAGAGAACAAATTTTGTTGGTACAAGACAACATTTTACCAACTCATTGCCAGTGCTAGATGTAAAGAGAAACGATGAGAAAATAGTTTTACTGATTACTACTCTTTAACTTATTCTACTCAACGGAATTGGATCCTTCTTTCATATGGAAAAACCAGATAAGTTTCTGCAACAATTTTGATTTCAAACCCGTGACTCATCCAAGCAAAAAATTCTTGACTTTGGAGCTTACAACCTCCTGAAACAGAAGTTATTCCATGCAATGTTCTGTGCCTATTGGCGCTTTTCCAAGAAAGTAAAAGAAAATGGTATATGGTCCAAGAAGAAAATCGAAACAATGGAGAGAGATGGATGAAAAACTAAAGGGTATTTAATGCAGGAGCTGTATTGAATGGAAATGGGACAGTTCTGAGCATTGATTGCATGGGGGCAATTAGCAGTTGTTGTTCTGAATCTGTGGTGAAGAACCAGGCGGAGAACCTCCGTTCAGGTTTCGGTTGTCCACTAAAAGATTGACAGGACCTTCGTTTTCGGTTTGTCATAGTCAAATTTCAGTTCATGCGATGAGTTGAAGTGAATAAAAACAGGTAATAATCTATCAATTTCTATCATATGTGTGGAATTTTCGTTAATGAAAATTGGACCAATTTCTGATAGAGATTTTCGTCGAAAATTTCAAGAATTTTCGATATCAAATCTATTCATTCGGCCTCAATTTTTCTTTAATCAATCTCCGATTACAAGGATTTTGCCCCTCTGGTATTTTCCTCTTACAAAGGTTTGGTAGTGTTCGATATGTACAATATCTAGACTGGACTACTGAATGATGTTAAAGCTACAGGTTTAACAATTCACCAATCTAAAATGATGATAATTAGAAGCAATTTAAATAGAACATTGAATCCAATTCAATGGAACAATGTGTTCTTTTGATCAGCTTCAAGCCTCAGCTGCTGCTGGAATACTTTTAACAAGTTCAGAAGCAGAAAACTGATAAAGAAAATCAAATGCCAACAACCAAGATTTCCATGATACATTAACAATAACTCACTCATCGGTCTTCAGTGAGTATATGGGGGGGGAAATAGGTCAAAATGACTGTTTAACTGCTCATTTAATGCAAGTAAGGCCAATGGATTTGGCAGTCATTGCTAACTTTGAATGGTATCTGTCTCTCACATGTACCTAACTTTATCAACCTGACAACTACTGTGTTCTGAGTATGTCCATGGAGTCGTCTAGCTACATGAAAACATTGAGATTTATGCCAGACATATAATGAAGCAAAAAACAAAACCAGATGAAACGGATTCAAAAGCAAGGAAATACTATATACTACAGATTAGGAGTTATCAAAATAAATTTTCAACGAACTTGATCATTGGATGTTCTTAAGCAAATGCTCCACCATAATTATCTGCTGCGCTCCACTTAGGGATTCTGAGTTCATGATTGCGTTAGCAACAACAACGATGGTGTCTGGAGTGGCAGCATTCACCTAGAACAAAGTAAAATTTTTTAGGGAGAATTACTGTTAGTGTTGAGAAATTTTTACTGACTTCTTTTGTTAAAAAAAAAAATCAGTAAGTGAAAAAATGCCTAAATCGAGTTTTTCAGTTGGCCCAATAATAGAAAGGAACTGTAACAAATTAAATACAGAAATTAAAATATTGCTTAACCAAGTGCAATAAAATTGCTGCCTCAAAGATCATACCCAAACCCGGCCATTTAAGCCAGCAGCTATTTCAAAGGAGAGTTTCTTGCCAAGAGCCTCAAGAACTGGACATGTTGGTGAACTTAACAGCCTTCAAAATGGAAAGAAGAAAAAATGACCAAGTCAATTATTATTCCACTCAAATGAAAAGCCTAAAAGCTATCTAGATGCCTGTAAGAGAAAGAGTTAAGATGGACCCTGTAAGAAAGAAAAAGTAAAAGTATCTCAAATGAATACATAGCGCCTCACTTTCTTGATAGACCAGTTGAAGTTTCAAACATGTATCCATCTTTGAGGGGGCCAAATTCAGCTGCTTTCCCACTGGCTATAAATAATAAAGATTTCCAAGGTAATGTCCACAAAATCAAGACATTCACAACGAAAAAAGGCATTTGTTATGACAAATGTAAAGCATGTTAGTGACTAACCATCAGTGCAGGACAGTTCAGGGTTCATGCCAAAGTTTGCCTTTACAACTCGGAGATAAAGAAGAGTACCAACCTGTAACAAGAAGCATTATACAAAAGGAAGCAGGGCTGAGACAAGATGCTACATTACAAATTGAAAACACATGCACACAAATTCAAAAAGCAAACCACTTTCCAATATGTAACTTAAAATTTCGAGAGAATTTATCCTTTGGGTTTTTAACAAAAGCTTCCTTCATTAATCTTTAAACATCGTTGGTGAGCGTGCATAACACTTTTGGATATGATGGAATGTTAATCTCACAGAAGATAATGAACACAGAGTGCTGCAGTGGAGCATTGGTGCCCAGAAAAAGGAAATTCAGTTGAAATATGGTGACTGCATAAATATGCACTCCACAATGCTCAGAGTTGTGCCATCTAAAGCTTTGATAAAGTTACATGTACATCAATAAATCACGGATGCTGTGCATGATTCTGGAAGGTCCAAGGTTCAAATAAGACAAGGGTGCTTGCAGCCTTCTCCTAGCAAGGAAAGTTTCCTCAACATGTAATGTGCCTCTCCCAAAAGATGCAATCCATCAATTGCATTGAAAATGAGATTGAATTATGAAAAGAGTACATAAATTTCAGCGCACGAGTTACTATACAGCATAGGGACATCAAGATGAAACACAATGGCTTTGCAATTAATGAAGATACATATGACCTGAATATGTTCACACCTCAAACTTCGGTATATTCCTCCTGGTCCCCCCTTCAAATGCAAGAACAGGCAAAAAGGCCAACACAGGTCCTTTGATGTCAATAAGAAAATTCTGGAAGGGGAAAACATAGAATAAAACAAGGAATAAGAAAAGGTAATCTGAAGTTCAGAAAAGCATGTGTAGATTTTGAAATTATGAAACACAAGGAAAATGGATCTATATATAAGCAATTTATATCAACATACAGATTGTTACAACCGGAGAGGACATGATAAATCAACCAGATTCAAACCAGGTATAATTATATAATTACTTTGAAAGCAATAATGTTTTTGCTTGTGTTAGGTTACTTCAAGTTGAAGAATAGAACAGAGGAAGCGCCAAATAATCGCCTCCACCTAATTTCATTCTTTTGCCTTTAATCACAAAACCCAAACAATTTACACTACATAAGGGGACTTTGACAGTGGCAAAGCTGTAGCAATTGCCTTGAAAGCTAAGGGGGAGCATTGGGTGGTTCGGTCAGCCTCAGTTCTGGAGGAGGCCACAACCGATCAAGCCAGCCGGGGTGGTGGAACCGACCGCCACTGACCGAGCCAAAGGAGAAGCAGATCAAACTGTGACCAACCATGGTCAATCAGTTAAGCGGTCAGTTTTAACAGTTGCAAAAGCAAATTTGGCATAACAAACATGGCGGTAATGGTCATCCTCTCAAAGCTTTCAGTTGAATCCCTGGCACGTTTCAGTTGTGTTTGAAAGCCTTGGTCTTCTTCGTTCCAAACCTTTGATTTCATTACTAAACATTAAACATCACCAAATCAACCTCAAAAACAACAAGCTTAATCTCCTTCTCAAACGTTGTCATAGCATCATCCTTGATGACATCCATTATTTCTCAACACTTTCAACAGCAAAAGGGGAAAACCTTTTAGTAGCAGAGAACAATCACAGTTCACTTACTCTTTTTTAAGAATTGTTGGTATGCCCTTGTAGTTTCAGGTCCTTGTAATGGATTTCATGGAAGAAGCTCAGCTGAAACCCCTGTGAGCATCATGAGTAGTTCTCAAAGCAAAGAGTGAAGGGATGATCAGAAAGAGGAGGTTAAAGAAAGGTTAGACCTTAGCCTTTCACTTTATAGGGGTCGGTTTTTCAGTTGGTGTTGGGGGGAAGGATTCCCCACTGACGGCTGAACCGATCAACTGCCCAAACTGCCACGATCAATAGACTCTTCAACTGGAGCCTATTGACCAAACCTTTTTTGACCGAAACTGCAAGAAACAGTTGGTTGGGCGGTTTCAAGCACCCAGATGCTCAGCCCTATTGAAAGCACAACACCATGCCACAGGTGCTGCACCAATGGTCAAATTCTCTCTTCATCATACAATAGGAAACAGACTCTTGTTTAATTAAATCTGTCCATCGAGGTGGGAAATGCAAGCCTGGTTAAATGAAAGAAAATCATAGAGGGACTGCTACCAAAATCTGAAAATCAAAGCCAACCTTCCACTTAGTCATGGAACTTATAAGAGAGACGGGAGACCTTCTTGTGAGAAAGTCATAGTTATTAGACAGAAATCTTCATAAGAACTTGCCAATGAATCACTTGTGCTTCTCCTTAAGTATACTCTCTCGACATTCTGGCTTTAATAGGCCTTGAAAATTTCGGCAGTGGTAACAATTTAGTTCACTTCCCAATTAAGTGTGCATAACCCGTATAGCTAGTTGATCTTGGCACTAATACATCTTGGAACCATCAGCATTAGGAAGTGAGATTTGAATGCATCTTTGTTGTTATTTCTCAATAAATTAAATCTAATTGCATATGTCCTCTCTATTGCGTTTTGTCACCATACAAAATACTCCAGTTTTCAGCTTCAAACGTCCTCAACTAACCTCATTGAATGGCCTCACATCATGGTTAACTTTGTTCATATAGAACCAACAGGTTGCTCATGGAGCAAGGCAAACACACATATGATGGGCCTGTTGCCATCTTTGCCACTCCAAGTGCATTCTTCTCTTGTAGTTGAGGAGATGAAGAAGGATAGAAAGGTAAGAGCCAAAAGCCAGTTACGTGATAGACATTCTACTGGTCCGGAGATTTACTGCATTAATAACAACTGATGAAGTGCTACTAAATTCTACCAAAAGACGGTTAAGCTTCTTCACTCTTATAAAATCAGTCTTAAAAATTTCATATCGAATCTGTGGAATTCCAATCTGATCCTTGAGAATATGCTCCAAAATTTCCTGTCAGTGTCTATTAATTGTACATCAACACTTCTCTATGATCATATTAAACAATAGACGAACAAATTACAATAAGGCTCTGTTAACATAGCTGGACTTTCATTTGTCCTTATTCACCTTCAGCTTGTTAATACAGACAAGCATGAGAGAAGAAAAAAAATCTCCAAACTTTCAATTTCCTTGCATAATCTATCCACCCACTGAAATACTTCATAAGAAAAGAACCAAACTGATTTCACTCTCCTGAATATCAGCATGTAATACAAAAGACAACCAATTACAGAACAATTTCACATATAGCTAACAACCAAATAAGGAAGTACTTACATCTGCTTTCGAGTCCACCACAATACCAAGAACAGCATCTTCCACGCAAGGAGTATACTGTGTAAAGAAAGCGTCATATTATTATCCTATTATATTAAAAAAAAAAAGAGGGTCTTGGGGGGATAATCAAAAGCTTTTACTAGCATCAATCAAGAATGCAACATTCACTCATTTTTTTCAATAATTAAGGAATTAAAAGAGCATGAAAACTAACCCTTTTCTGAGAACTTTCAACCCAGTACTTATTTGGTTTTGAGAACCTAAGTGTTCCAGCCTTCATCACAGAAATAGCATCACAATCCTGGGAAAAGAAAACCCACCCCACTCTCATTATCATTCATTAAAGAAACTTAGAGATAGAGAGAGAGAGAGAGATACCTGACGAAGACCACCACCCAGCTTGATGGTCTGGTTGGTCATGGAGGAGAGGTCGAGCACCACATCCCCTGGAACCTAAACACACCTCAGAAACAAAACAGCAACTTACATATACATAAGAAGAAAAACAGGGAGAGTTGAAGAAACAATTAAAAATCGAATGGGAGGTAGAAAAAGAAGAAGAAATACAGAAAAAAGATTACTCACCACTGTCGAATCAATGAGGCTAGCCGGCGAGCCTGACTGTTTCTCTTCCATTAAAAATTTAGCTTCTTTAGAATCCGGTTTATTCTCTTAACACCTCTGTTCCGACGCTGCCGCTACTGCAAAACGAGCGGACCGGAGGGAGCTTTTCTTAGTTTCGGCTTGGAGGGTGAAGCTCTGCTAAGAGGAAACCCCTTTTATGACATACATAAAACGCAGCGTTTTATCACTGTCCCGCCAAAAAGTCAACCGAAAAAAAGGCGCTTCTTTTAGTTTAAGAGTGAACTAGATTTTTTATGCCTCTGAGGAATTCGAGAAAATGGAAGCTATAAACCTATTCAATCGCCATTCATTCAATATACAGCGTCAATCTAAGGATCAAGATAATCATCGATTGTTTTCTGGGCTACCTCATTATCCCAAATATATTTCTTTTATCAAAAGACCATCTTCAGTTTTCAGCAATTCTCAAACTTTCTTCATTTCTCTCAATTTCCTTGAAAAGCCATCTCAGAAACCGCAATACCAACGTGGGTTTTCAAGGAATAAGCTTATTATGGAGTTTACAGAAAATGGATTGTTCGAAGATGCCATAAGGGTTTACCTTGAAATGCTTCAAAATGGTTTCCAAGTTCAAGATTTTAAGTTCTTTCCTTGTTTGATTAAAGCATTTGGTGGGGTTTCTGATGTTAAAAGAAGCAGGCAAATTCATGGTCATGTATTAAAGTTAGGATTTTTAGCTGATGTTTATGTTGTGAATGCGCTTTTGGGAATGTACTCTAAATGTGGGGAAATCAAAGATGCGGTTAAAATGTTTGATAAAATGAGTGAAAGAGATTTGGTTTCATGGAATTCAATGATTTCTGGGTTTTGTCAATCCGAGGATTACTTGGATTCGTTGATGATCTTTAGTTTGATGGTTAAGGAACATGGGATGTTCCCGAATCGGGTAGGTTGTCTCTCTGCTCTCTCATCATGTGCTTCGATTGAGTCACGGATTCATGGGAGAGAGATTCATGGATTTGTTGTGAAAAATGGATTGGAAAGTGATGAGTTTTTGGTTAGTGGATTGATTGAAATGTACATGAAATGTGGAGATGTAAGGAACGCGGAACATGTTTTCAAGAGTATAATTAATAAGGAATCAGTGAGAAGAAATACTGTGATTTGGAATGTGATGATTACAGGGTATGTTTCTAACGAGTGTTTGTCAGAGGCAATGGAATTATTTGTTGAGATGTTGGAGTTAGGGATTCAACCGGATTCTTCTACAATAGTGGCTGTTCTAGTTTTGTGCTCAGAGTTATCAGATTTAGGCATAGGAAAACAAATTCATAGATTGATATTTGCATTTGGATTAGAAAATGACAAAAGAATTGAAACAGCTCTTATCGAGATGTACTTCAAATGTTGTCATTCTGAAGCTGCTATGAAAATCTTCAGAAGATCTCAAAATGATAACTCAGTCATGTGGGGTGCAGTTATATCAAATTCTGCTCAGAAGGATTGTCCCATTGTCGCGCTGGAATTGTTCCATAACTTTTTGTTGAAATATGGCTTCCCTGATTCTCTGATGCTTTTGGCTGTGTTGCGAGCATGTTCGTCCTTGGCTCTTAAGTCTAAAGGCATGGAAATTCATTGTTTAGCTGTTAAAACAGGATCCATCTCTGATCATTATGTTGCTAGTGCCCTAGTTGATATGTATGGAAAATGCAGAGACATAGAGTCTGCTCAAAATGTTTTTTCTAGGTTACATCTGAGAGATTTGGTCTCATGGAGTGCCCTTATATCTGGATTTTCTCAGAATGAGAGGGCTGATGAAGCTTTAGCAGCATTTCGTGATATGCAGTGTGAGGGAATCAGACCAAATAGTGTAACAATTGCATGTATTCTCTCTATTTGTGCTCACTTGTCAGTTAGGATTCTGTGTAAGGAGGTTCATTGTTTCTTAATACGGCAAGGGTGGATGTCCAATGTTCTTGTGAGCAATTCTCTAATTGCTGCTTATGCCAAATGTGGGGACATCAATAGCTCATGGATTATATTTGAGAAGATGCATGAAAGAAATGAAGTATCCTGGAATTCGATAATATCTGCTTTAGGAATGCATGGCCATACGGACAAAATGTTTGTTTCCTTTGAAAACATGAAACAAGCAGGCATGAAGCCTGACCATGTAACTTTTACAGCCCTTCTTTCTGCATGCAGCCATGCTGGGATGGTTGCTATGGGATGCAAATTTTTTGAAAGCATGGTTGAAGGATACAAACTTCAGCCTCAAGTTGAGCATTATACTTGTATGGTTGATCTTCTTGGACGAGCTGGCCATCTAAACCAGGCATATGATCTGATCATGTCTATGCCTTGTGACCCAGATGATCGTGTCTGGGGTTCACTTCTTGGATCTTGCAGAAGTCATGGCAATGAAAAGCTGGCTAAAGTTGTGGCCAATCACATATTCAAACTTGATGCCACAAGCATTGGTTATCGTGTCCTCCTCGCAAATCTTTATGAAGATTTGGGACAACCGAATGAAGTTGTTAAGGTTAGATCAGAGATTAAAGACATGGGGCTTAGAAAACAGCCTGGATGCAGTTGGATTGAAATTGATAACAACATTCATATATTTGTTGCGGGTGATTGTTCACACCAGCAATTAGAGGAGATATATGCTGTGGTAGAGAATTTAACACTAGAAATAAAAGGGGCAGGATATGTTCCTAATTTATCCTTAAGAAGTTGTGTGCCTGATGTGGCCGATTTTTAAGGGCTCTTTGCTAAGAGTGACAATGTTTTTGCATTACTGGCAACATGTGCATAGAAAATTTAACCAGACCAGACCACTGGATAACACTTGTAAACCTAATGGTAGGTTTGTACTGCCATCATTGGTGGCTAGTTGCTGTCTGCCGGTTGAGGGACTGAGATACGAGACTGATGACTGTAAAAAGAACACTAGCTTACTTGAAGGCATTCATGAATTGAGCTGTGACATGCCCTTCTCAACGTATCCATGCTAGCCGTTTTTTCTTGGTGAACTTGAGGGTATATTTTTGCTTGTTTGTTAACCCTTCTTTTTCAAAATTTAGGTGTTCAGTTGGTTTTCCGGAGCTCTCAACCTGCATGCATTTCAAGGACCGAGAGAACAGGGAGCCACATCCTTTTTGATTAGAGGTGGATACCTGATAGTTGAGTGTTGTATTAAGGAAAAGGCAAAAAGCAATTGTCCTGCCTAGAGTCCCCACCTCTGTAAACAAGGGATTGAGTTTCCCGATTAAATGACCAAGGGAAGTTTACATCCTTGAATCTGTAAGAATCCAGATTAAATATGTTTGGAATGTTTTCAATGTTTAACTTATCTCAGGATACCTGTATGCCTACTCTCTTTCCTTCTCTCAGTGCAATTTGTCTTTGGCTCCAAATTTTTTGCTTGTACAATTGGACAGTTTGGGGAATAGAGAGCAACCACAAACTAGAATCAACCAAGTTCTTTTTTGAATGACTAGTTTCCAAAAAACCCAACAGACATGAATTGATAGTCTTTGCCCAAGTAGGAAGCAGGAACCTACATTGACATGAAACACAAGCCTGCAAGACAGGCGGCCCTGGTCTTTAAAAAATTTATAACAGGATTAGCAATCAATCAGCTGAATAAAAAAGGATGAATTACATCATAAGATTTTGTTTGACATTATTACAGCATCTTATTACAGACATCTGATCTAAGAATCTTTACTCTACCACCGCAAGCAGATCCATACTTCAGCTGTTTGAATAGAAATTACTTCACAAATGATAAAAAAAATAATCTAAAAGCAACCTTTAATCAATATAGAATTACAATAAATAATACAACCAAAACCCTGCTAGACAGTTATTTCGTTCCACCTTACCACCCATTATAACCATCCCCATGCCAAAAATCAAACAGAAAACCGATAAACATCTATTCTTTTCTTCTTTTTCTTTCTTTCTTTCTTTTTCTCATTTTAACGAGTCCTATAATACATCATGTTCATCTATAAATACATAAATCCATCCGTATCACACCTTAATTGCCTCACCGTTTCCATTATGAGGATTGTCATCAAGAAGGGTTTCCAATGATCTGGCTTTTCTGCTCCGAACTCTTCCTGCTTCTTTTAGTAATTCAGCCAACCTTTTCTTCTCATCATAAACCTCAGGATTTGCCGTCCCAACCTTTTCCTCTCTCACCTCAACAACATACTCCAGGATTTCAATGGCATCATCCAACCTGTGTTAATAGCATATATCACAACAACACGGTAGAAAGAGCATTAAAAATTGTGCTCAGAATTCATCAGCTGCCAGAATTAAGTAGAATGGTAGTTGTTCAGTTGAATATTGTCTACATTCATATTTCGTGTAGTATACCTAGCATAACTCAGGGAAAGCCAGCGGAATAATAACTTAACTACAAATATTTTTTTTTTGAAAGTTAATAACTTAACTACAAATAAAAGAAGAATTTTGCATATCTTCCCCTTTTATTTCTTATAAAAGGAAAATGCGGAAAATGGGGGAAGTGTGGAGTGTTGTGGATTTTTACAATTATGTATATAACTGAGATTGGCAGGAAAGGAATAAAAGAAGAAAATAAGTTGCACACCTGCCAATAGCGTCATAAGTGCCGGCTAGATTACTACATACCCCGAGTGTATCAGGGTGGTATGGTCCACACTCTTGCTCCAAAATGCTCTTGGCTTCTTCAAACAACTCAACAGCCTCATTTATAGAATAGCGTTGCACACAAGCCAGCCCCATTTGATTGAGAGCAATGCCAAAGAAGGCAGATTTCCTCTCTCCACATGCACGTAGCTTCGAAATGGCACTTTTGAAGGAGTTGTAAGATTCAGAATAATTCCCCAACACGTAATACATTACTCCCATCTGGGCTTCAATTCCAGCAATTGTACTTTGCTGACCAGGAGCATCATTGTATATTTTTAAGGCCCTTTGTAGCAAATTGATTGCCTGATCAAGGTCGTTCATTGATTCATAAATAGCAGAGACATCTGTGAGGCCACTTGCAATCTCCTCTGGAGGGATCCCAGGCATGGGCTTTTCATAGATTCGGAGGGCATTCTCGCAGTATGATTTTGATTCCCTTAATTTCCCTGTCCTGTTATACAAATCAGCCAACCGGACAAAGACAGACCCCATAGCTGGATGATTCTCTCCTTTGGTTGTCTTAAAAGCTGTGAGTGCTTTCTGATATGCAAAAACAGCCTCATCGTATCGCGACAAAGATAAGTAAGTGTCTCCAATGCTGCAATCAACAGAAGCCACCTCTGCCTCCTGGCCATTTGCCACCATGGCCATACTGGCTAAAACAAGATGCTCCAAAGCAGCTTCATGGTCTCCCTTTGTTTCACATATGAGACCCATGAGCCTCCTATCTGCTGCTTCTTCAAGAGAAGCCGGTGAACCATGCTCTCTGTGAATGTCAATAGCCATTTGACATAGCCTCTGAGCTTCATCAAATTGCAGTGCCTGAACATAAGCTTCAGCCAAATACCTGCAGGTCTCACCAACTCTGGGATCTGCTTCTCCCAGAACTTGTTTCTGGACTTCAAAACCAGTGCTGTAACAAGTTATTGAGTTTTCAAGCTGTCCTAGCATGGCATGAGTGTCGCCCAACTGCATATGACCAGCAAATTTAGCAAGGGCGTGCTCTTGGCCTTCATCAATCAATGGAATCTCAATTGATTGCTCAAGAAGAGGAATTGCCTCACTGTACTGGCCTAAGCTGCAATATATTGCCGCTGTGACATGCAAACACATGACCAGTTCTAAACTGGGTTTTCCGTTGGCGCAAAGTTCATATGCTTTTACTGCTCGAAGTGCTAATTCAAGAGCTTTCTGGGGATTGTCTCCTGAAGAAACCAAATCCCTAGCTTGCTTGAGCAAAAATGGTCCGAGATCAGGATTACCTAACCCTGACTCAGATGCATCCTCAGATCCATTTTGCAACTTTGACCCTTTTCCTTTCTTCATGGATCCTGTGCTAGGTTTCTTTAGACTCCTGTTCCGCTTATCGATGGGAGGTTTCTCAGGTGGACTTTTTCCCTTCAGACTGGGTTTTGTCAATGCTTCAGAGTCCAATTGTGACGGAGATGCTTTCTGCGCATGACCTGAAGAAGTAGATTTTACACTTGCAGATTGGGTCTTGTCCAACTGCCCTGACTTTTTAGCATTAGATGAGCTTCCCCTCTTAGAAGAGGAATTACTACGAGTATCATCTTCTGGCTTATCCACATCCTCCGCTTGCATTATCTCAACTTCCCTCATCTCCCCTCCAACAAGATGGCGTAATTCTGAATCAATCCGAGATTCTTCACCATATGATCCAAAGCTCTGCCTCGAGGGCGACTGATCAGAACTCTGCATATCACACACATTCTCATAAAGCTGCTCAATGGAGGTGTCAACCTGAACCATCCCATTAATGGGGTGATCTGCACCATGAGGGCTTCGTGGACTTGGCGTACTCTTAGGGGACTTATTCGAAGCAGAATTTTCCTTGTGTGCGGAAGTCCCATTCACTTCATTCGTCACTGCTTCCTCTTTAATTTCATCCATGATAAGTCCGGGCATCTTCGTGTAACCAAACTCACAAAATTCTATCTGCACCAGAAAGTTTCAAACACAGACCAAACCTATCAAACAATTGAAACGCCAGATCCTAGCAGAAGAAAGCATAAATTTTCACAACATATCCAACTTCATACAAACTATAGAAACCAAAACATAACTAGAAACATATCAACAACCCCATAATAACATCAAAAGTTCAACCTTTTAAGAAACTCATCATAACCTATTTCTGTTGAAACCTCACTTAATACGCAAAAGCATATATAGTTAGAGAAGTCAATGTTCCTCAATCAGATCTTCCAGAACCAAATCCACCCCAACTACTGATTAACTCATCAAGAAATACGGCAAACCAATCATGCAAATCAACAAAACAAACAAAACCCACAAATAATACCACAAAATATCAAAGAAAATATTGCAGTTGACCAGATATAAAAAAAAGGGTATGTAATGGAAAAAGTAGAGCCATGACAATACCTCAAAAAACAGCCATGGAAGATGATTAAACCAACAAGCAAGGTGATATCTTTTTTGGGTTTTACATAATAAAGACAATAGTCAGGAAAGAGAGAAAAAAAAAGATTTATATACACACAGAAAAAATCTACCTTTTGGAGGCTTGGTATAAATAAAAGATGGAGCCTTGGGAAGGAGACAGGAGGAAAATCCAGGGAAAGACAAAGGGCAAAATGAGAAAATCAAGCTGTAAGACAATACTATATAAATGTGGGGGGGTTGTAGATTGCAGGGGTTAGAATGTCAGAAAGAAAAGAGGGACGGCGACTTCTTCCCAAACCCAAAACCCGCGCGGCCTGCAACTGCCGATCTGTTTCTTGTCTGTTTTTTCAGTTTTCCATGGGAACTTGCCACATGGCAAGTTGCTAATAGTTCATGTAGTTTCCAGTTGGACGAGAATACCCTTTAGTTGAGTTGGGAGTCGAGACTCGAAAGCGATTTTTGACTTCTTCATTGTATTTTGGGTGCAATGTTAGCTTTTATATAGACAAAGTGTCACAGTCCTGAAGTTTACTTCCCTTCCCTTGCACTTGAAATCTACTTTCAGCAAACTTATGTCTTTTCCTTTTTTTTTCTCAAATTATGCAAGATGAAATCTAAAGCACAACTCTCTTTGTTCTTTTTTTTTTTTTTGACCTTTTCATTTCCATGGCAGAAAGCAAGACATGCAGCACTGTGGCACCAACTTTAAACAGCAGATGTGATACTGTTTCTTTTTTTTTAAGGATTTGCATGTAGTTTCAGTGTTTCACTCACTCAATTATTCTACCAAAGGGTACATGTACTTTTTTATTTAAGCTTTGGGTCCTATGGAAGTTATATGTATTTGTCGGTGGAGACAATCCCATGAACTTTCCTAGTGAAACCCTGCATTGGAAAATTCTTCATATCAACCCATATTAATACTGTGCTTCTTCTACTTTCTTTTCCTCAAATCCAACCATGGAACATTCAAGGTAGAAAAGCTGTTTTGCCTTTCAGATCAATCCAAAATGGTATGTATATTAATAAAAATAAGATATTTGTACTTTGGTTGATTTCATTTCGTATTCTGAGGATAGTAAGTGTTGGTAAAAAGTTTGAGTGAAGAAGCATTTAAAGGGCATGCAAGAGTGGGTGTGTGTGCTCATCATCACACCAATATAGAAGGGAAAAAGACGACAAACAAAACAAGCTCTTAAGTGCAAACAATCCAGGGTAGAGAACCTGTTTGTTGGTATATTTATTTCAAAATGATTGTAATTTATTAATTTTCACCCACTTTCTCGGGCTCCATTTTCATTTCATGCGTAGAGCATTTATTTATTTATTTTGACTTATTTTGTGAAATGCAAGTCTTTGCCCAAGAAGCAATTGGCATGGCTCATGCACTGCCTGATCTCTATAGAGTAAATGTCCATAATTGGAAAGCAATACTCTCTTGTTTTTAATGAATTTCATTATATGATTGGTATTAGTACTAGTACCATCACAATAATGGTATTGATAAGTGATCATAATAATTTCAAATTAGTGCATACTTGAATATACGGTTTAATTGTACGTACATATATTTTCTATTTAAATAGTAAATCTCGAATCTCTTTATTTTTCATAAAAAAAATTATATAAATGACATTTCTCTTTTTTTTTTTTTACAATTTTATCGTTTATTAATTAAAAATTCATTTGCTATTTTTATTAAATTTGTAAAAGGGATCTCGGAATCACAAGACACCTAAATATTTGGCTTTAGACAACAAACTTTTAGGTCATTATGGCAAGTACTTTTTACCATTCCTTTGAGAATTTCAGATGCTAAAAGCCTAAAACCAAGTTATGAAAAAGGACTATATAGGTGGAAAAAATAAACAAAAAAAGGGTGCAAAACCTTTTGAATAATTATTGGGGTTAGAGAGTTAATTTACAATGTTTAAAAGATGGGAACCCAATGATAATGGGAGTATGGGACTTAGTACCCCCCAAAAAATATATACATATCTCAATGATCTTTCCTAGTGGGGTCTATAAAGATACTCATTTACTTATTGGACCACCTAGACTTAGGGTTTGAACCCTTTTTTTTAATTATTATTTATTGTTCTTTCAAATAATCTTTTGATGATTTTGGCCACCCAAAGTCTTACTTGTGAAGATAAGAAGAGGGAATGTGAAGTAGGTGTTGTGTTTTGGCAGGCCAAAGAATGATAGAGCACCAAGTTTCTAGATTAGCTGAAATCATAGTCAACAGTTGAATAATCAAAACAGAGACCTTTCAACTCTCTCCCAACTTACAAATTAATCATAACTTGCCACCTTGGGTTTAAGCACTTGGTTTCAATTGATGTATAAACAAAATTGAGTTAAAATCATTAATGAAGGAGAGGAAAGGTTATGAATGACTAATAATAATACTATGTTAGGAGTTAAGGATGAGAGTGAATATTTTGTAATTGAATAACCTACTTTATTTGTCTCGACTCAAATATTTATGTGTCAAACTTATGTTTTAATAATATAGATCAATTGGGATTGAGTTCAAACATAATTTTTAGAGGTGTCAACTAATCTTGTCTGATTCGGTTTATTAATGCTTCTATTGGTACATATTAAATTTAAAATAAAATTTATATTTGATGTATTGATTGTGTATAATTTTATTACATTATCCGCTAATCAAATGTTGTCACTTCATGAATAAGATAAAGTTAAAAATCTTTAAACACTTAACCTTAAGTATTAAAAAAAATTTAATAATTAATAAATTCCCTCACAACTTTTTTATTGATTTCCTTTTTTTCATCTCTCCCTAATTGTAATTAAATATTAAAGTTAAAAATCTTTAAACACTTAACCTTAAATATTAACAAAAATTAATAAATTCCCTCACAACTTTTTTATTGATTTCCTTTTTTTCATCTCTCCCTAATTGTAATTAAATAGTAAAAAAAGTAATCCAAAAATATGACAGCTGTGGGATTTGAACCCACGCCCTTTCGGACCAGAGCCTAAATCTGGCGCCTTAGACCACTCGGCCAAACTGTCTCAATTATTTTTGAAGGCATATTAAATATAATAACTCTTCTCACTGCTGTGAAAGTGAGCATTGCACCGAAGTGATACTAGGTTGCATGGAAATTGCCTTTCTGAATGAAAACCTTCATATTTGACTCACAAATTTTGAAGAGAAGAATAGAGAAGGAATATGTGGGATAGAAGCATAAAACATACCAATCAAAAGGAACTACTTCAGTTCCAATATATATATAGGTTTGATTGAACATCTGAAGCCCTACCTACACAGGTAATGAATATGGTACACTGAGCATCACACATCATTTAACAAGAGTTCCTAAGCTTTAAAAGAAGCACATCAATAGTGCCCGGCAATGCATTTCGGTAGGCATCTCAAAATAGCATGATCAGGAGAAGGTTTATAAGTTGAGAAAAATTCCGGATCCTCTTCAAGGGACTCTGCATAGCGTTCCAAAATTGAAACTATCTCATTAAAGTGTGGTCGTTTCTCTGGATTGCTTGACCAGCATCGGTTGATGAGATGACTAAATGCAAGAGGGCATGAGGAGGGTAGCGGTGGTCTTGCATTCTGCATTAAAAACCCAGAAGACATAAGATAAAGAAAATCATTTTACACTATAGGTGAAACTTCATCAGGAGAAGAGCACCAGTCATCCAACACTCCTGCTCATGCCCCCCTGGAAATTCAGGAATGAGTGATATTTGAACTCAGACTATACACATTATGCTGCAAATGAAGTAATAGCAACCAAGATAATTATTCGTAGAAGTTTATGCAGCTACTACTATGCTGATGCTGAAAGGTTCTGCATTTTATCCTATGAGAAGCAGGATAGGAGCTTAAGAGAAGATTCTATGCACAATTCTTAAAGCACTCTAAACCCACACTGTAACTATATGGCAAGACAAATATACTTGGAAACTAAAAAACTACACTTCAGTGTCACCTGTAACATGTAACATACTGCAACATAGAATCACAGGTTACAGTGCAACCTTCCAATTATATTTACTCCCTATTATTTATGGTGCATAATTCATGCATCTTTATTGGGCTTCCATATTTAGAGAATTATATTAATTTAGGTTGAAAGTTCTCATTGTATAAGACATAACATTACAAACTAATCATGATTGGAAAGAAAATCACGGCTTAAATTATAAAATCACTTAATTCAGACTGAATAACACTCAAAAAATGTAATCACATGATGAAGTAAATTAAGTGTCATCCTAATATCCAAGGTCTCAAAGAAGGATAAGACTGAAATATCTTCTGAAGTGTTTGTACAACGTTTATTTTGCCTTATACTTTTCTCTGTTTCTAGATATACCAATGCAGGGAAAATCAGAACATACAAGGGACAAAAGAGCGGAGGGAAAAGAGCAATGCAAACAATGAGGCAATATGATAGGGTGATACGAACTGTTCACTGAGCAAATGAACTGTATTTTGTTTCTGTGTAGTGTCATGCACTCACAATGTATTGGAAAAGATATATCACAGATAGATAATAGAGACTTTATTATCCATGCATGGAATGCAGTCAATGCACCACTTACGGAAGACGAAATGGCAAAACGAAACTGAGCACAATACATCCACCCAGTAAGCCATTTCTTAAATTAAGCACATTACCCTATCCTATATTCAGCAACTCAGTAAGGTTGCATCATTGCCATACGATGGGAGGATTACTACACTGCCCATTTTCCATAGTGAGTCCATCTCAATTCTCACATGCTAACATCAGAAACTAAACGACTAACATTCTGCCCATCCTTACCAACAAAAAGGCATAAAGGCCCCTCCTTTCACATTGTTTAAATTGATTCAACTGAAATAGTCATTTATAGCATGCCCACTGTCTCAATAGTTGAAAAAGCCGCAAGAAATTGCTGGTTATTGGTGTTTAAGATGTTATGGTTAACAAGGAAAAAACAGTGATGTAAAATAAATCTGTGGCTGGAACAGATTTTTTTTTTTTTTTTGACATGTAGATGAATAAGTGAGAATGTGCTCCACTTACGGTTTCACACTGAAGAGAAGCATGTCAGCAATCAGGATAAAGAAAGATTTGTCTCTCATACTCAATTCAACGCCAATTTGAAGTATTGATTTTAGATGGTGCGTCACTGCCTTTCATATTCTTTCTTGATGATCCATGCTACCATCGCCTAATTATAGGACTATAGAGCAATGATTAATTCATGCATAATATGGGAAAAGATGTTCACATGTGGTATGGGATATGTCAGCCCCAAGCAAATAAAAAAAAGGGTACACTGTCCCACAAACTATTTCCAAATTCTTTAATTGAAGTCATATCCTCTATCTAGTTGCATGATTT